GACTATGGAATGTTTTATTTTAACATGATGAATAAAATATTTTAAGACAAGGTGTTCAAATATTTTCCAAATCATTTCTAATATATATATGGTATCAGATTGATCTAATTTCTGTGCACTGAGGACAAGCAAGTCCTAGGTTCCAAACTGAACTCTCCAATGCAAGAACAAGATGGATTTCTTCCTTTAGGAGGTGCGATTATCAGAAGAAAATAAAAAGGTTTCAGTTTTGTTTTTGCATGTGGGTGGGTATTCTGTTTGTAATAATTGTTTGGATACACTGTATTTTTAATATGCTAGTTGTGATATTTTCATGCCAAGTAAAAATGTCCATAGTCATATTTTATGTTCCTAAAGTAACAGAATGACTTTCGATCTAGAAAAGACAAAAGAAATGCTAATGTAGCATTTTTTTCAATTTTTCCGAAAATTTCCATTTCCCCCCGAAAAAAACGGGGGGTTTTCCGAGCTTCAAAATTTCCGGAAATTTTACATCTCTAGTAGGTTCATAAACTATTTGACTGGCAAGCTATTCCATGTACTTTATTTGTGACTGGTTGCCAAACCTGGCCAAAAAGCCTAGGCAGCCCAAATTCCAGCCAGAAATACCTCGTCACGGCACACTGTCACGGCACACGTAGGCCCATGAAAGCGAAGGAAAAATTATTTTCATATATAATTTGCGTTACTATTAAAATATAACTCATAAAAGCATCAGGTGGAGGAGTGTGTGCCTTTCACTATCAGAACCAGCTTACTGTAACCAGTATCAGTGTTCCCTCTAAGCTGAGTTAGTGTGAGCTAGCTCACAGTTTTTTAGCCTCCGGCTCACACATTTTTCCTCTTAGCTCAGGAAGGGTGGCTCCAGAGCAAACTAATTTATGCAGTAGCCAAGTCACTCGCTCACAGCTTTACTGCCAGTAGCTCACAAAATAGAATTTTTGCTCACATGGCTTGATTTTGCAAAACATGAATTTACAGAAAGGAAAGGTATTCTGAGTATGTTCTCGTGTTTAGCCTTCGGGTTTACTGTCTAAAAATGAAAGTTGGGAAGGGCATTTTGGATGTGTTTGTGCATAGGCCAGTGGCCACAGTTGGAAAAATGCAGGTTCAGTCTGATTATTATAGCCAATCACCATGAACTTTTTTTTTTCTTAGCAGCAGAAAAGAGCAAGGGGTCCAGTAGCACCTTAAAGACTAACAAAATTTGTGACAAGGAATGAGTTTTCGCCAGTCACTGCTCACTTCTTAGGTGGTTGCCCAGATTAGCTAGAAACACATACACCCCTCTTTACCTTTGTTCCCAAGACGAAGACTTTGCACACGGCCAAAGATGGGATGGCTTTGTGGAAGAAGTCTTATTTTTATGGGGCAATTCATATTTTAATTTTCATGGCTAGGCTCTTCCCAGCTATTCTACAAGCAGCAGCGATTCTCTCCTTTTTAAATTAACCCTTGTGTTTAAAGCGGAGCATGTTAGCATCTTCTCTTTCATGGTGAAACAAGGGACTCCAGAGCCTCAGTGGGAGGTCTTTCACCCTTACCCGCTTCTTGATCTTTTTTGACTGAACAGGTTAAAAACACTTCATCTCAGGGGTGGCCAAACTGGCTTCTCTTTCACACATATTGTGTGGCTCCCGGCAAGGCAGCTGGGGAAGAAAGAAAAGGGGAGGCAGGCCTCCCCGATTGGTCTTCCCTTCCCCAGCCAGTGTTCTCCCTGGGTAGGCTTGAGGTGTAGGGGGGGAGCAGAGAAAGAAAGCAACTTTAAATGCATTCTCAAAGGCTCCCCCCTCCCAGCCAGCCAACTTGGTGAAGGCATTTGTCTCCTTAAATCCCTTATCCAAACCAAGCTGGCTGGCATGGGGGTGTGGAGGGGTTTGGAGAACACATTTGAAGTTAGTTGCTTTCTTTCCACTTCTCCCTTCATCCCTTTCTCCCCATTTATTTGCTTTCTTTCCCCCTCTCCCTCTATTTGCTTTCTTTCCACCTTTTCTTCTGTCTCTTTCCCCTTTCCTTCCTCTCCCGTCTATTTGCTTTCTTTCCACCTTTCTTTCTTTTTCTCTCCTTCTCCCTTCCTTTCACTCTCTCTTCCTTCCCCCTCCCTCCATCTATTTGCTTTCTTTTCTCTCTTTCTACCTCTTTCATTCTTTTCACCTCTCTCTCTTTCTCAGACAGACAAATAAATACCATTGGCAAACAAATATCACTGGACAAATAACTATAATCAATATCTGTTTTTACCCTTTTTGCTTTTATTTTTGGCAGTCTCATTTAATGTTAAATGCAAATTTGCATATTTTCCTATAAAAACGTGTGTGTAATATTTGTTCATGTCTCATGGCTCTGACGTTAATTCTATGTGGCTCTTACTTAAGCAAGTTAGGCCACCCCTGCTTTATCTCCTTCTCGCTTGTGTACTCAACAGGACTTCCCATAGCAGTATCCTTTTTCTCAGGCTTCATAATTAGCGGACCGTGTCCGTGAAACTACGTCCCCCAGAATTCCTCTGGAGGTGGGGAGCATGCGTAGCAGAGTCAGCCAAGTTGCCATTCCAAAAACCTCCTTCGAGCATGCGTAGTGGTGTCCACGCGCCCACGCCGTCCGGAGGGTCCCGGGCATCATGGCGGAGCCGGAGATCTCCACACAAGCTGCCCGGACCCCTCAGACTAGCGCTCCCTCAGCCGCCACCGTGGCTGCGGTCTCAGCCCCACCAGCAGCGGCGGGAGGCGGAGCTGGAGGAAGCAGCGGCAGCAGCGATCCTGTTCGCCCGGGACTGAGCCAGCAACAACGCGCGAGCCAGCGCAAAGCGCATGCGCGAAGCTTCCCGCGGGCAAAGAAGCTAGAGAAGCTGGGGGTATTCTCAGCATGTAAGGTACGGGGGCCTGTAGGGGACAAAAGAGCGCGGGAATCCTTCCTGGTGGCCTGGTCCAGCCATTGCTGCATCCTTTCCTGGACAATAAAAAGATGTTTTGGACCAGGAAGCTTGGTTACATGCAATTCACTTAGGAATGCTTATTTATTTTTAAACGTTATGTACGTTTTTAAATAAGGTGTATTCCCAAATACGAGTATATATTTTGGATGGTAAGGGGGTGCTATGCAACACAGCTCCATCTGGGTCTCTTAAGATATGGGATGGGGGTCTTTTCTGCCCTTCCTAGCTGAGATCCATTGAGGAAACCTGGTATCTAATCTTTTGCTGAGTTATTATCCCTTCCTCTTGCTGAAAACAATAAAATAAGCATGTACATTTTGTTTTAAAAACCGGATCACTGAAAAAGGTGAAGCCTAATATCTTTGAATATCTGCTCCTCCTGACCCCCCCCAACAGGTGTGCCAAGCACCTGCCTTCTTGTCATTTGTCAAATCATTTAAAGTAACTTACTGAAGTCATTGCCACAGGATGCTGTAGGAGCTAGGAGCACAGACAACATCTTAATTGAATTTTTTAGTGGTTTCAGAATGAGTAGCTAAGTAGCATTTAAAACACGTTTTGTCTGGTTTTATATTTAGGTGTTTAGAGTGTGTTTATGGACTAGGAAAGGGGGCTCAATAAAAGGAAACAAATACCTGACATTTGCTGTTAGTAATGACCAAATACTTTGGCCACCCAATGAGAAGGGAGCACTCACTGGAGAAGACCCTGATGCTGGGAAAGATTGAAGGTAAAAGAAGAAGGGGACGGCAAGGTATGAGATGGTTAGACAGTGTTATCGATGCCACAAACATGAAATTAAGCAAACTCTGGAGCATGACGGAAGACAGGAGGGCCTGGCGTGATGTGGTCCACGGGGTCGCGAAGAGTCAGACTCAACTGTGCAACTAAACAACAACGACAATGACCAAGTGAGATCTGTGCGGTTGGAGCTTCCCAGGTGTGTCATCTGATTTATGTTGCCTCATGTTCCCTGGCAGTGACGCATCTGGCTGAAGAAGGGTTGTCCATTGGCCTAGCCAGAAAACATTTGTTCAGTTGTCTGGTCCCAGCATTTTTAAAGCATTACTTGTATTAGAATAACAATAACTTTAAAAAAAATCAGGGCTTGATATGTATGATAAAGGTTCGGCAAGGAAAACAAAATTAAAACAGAAACCAGTTATGCTTTGGTTCACCTCTGCTTCACATTTCTGCTTATATTTTCAGATTTCTGCATGCAACACCCTATGGCACTGTTGATTGCATTTTACTTAGACTATGCCACCCGCCTTGAGTCTCAGTGAGAAAGGTGGAATATAAGTGACGTAGAAGTGAGCAGCAGGACAAAGTCTGAGTTCAGTGGCACCTTTAAGACCAAAAAAGTGGCTACCAACAAAGTGGCTACTAGTCCTGTAGCCAGGATTTTATAATTTGGGGGGCCTTTAAATAAATCAGGGGGCACTGATGTCACAAAATAAAATAAAAATTAAAAACCCTCACTTTTGCCGCTTTCGCAGTCTGCCTGCGTATGCAGGGAAGCAAGCCACGCTTGGGGAACGGGAGGCAGTCGGGAGTCCGCTGGGTGGCTCAGAGAGTTGGTAGTCCTCCAGGCAGCTCAGAGAGCCAGTGGGGTGAGGACTGGATGGAAGTTGGGGGGCCTTGGCAGGGGGCCAGGCCTTGAAATGCCCCACTATAGCTACGGGCCTGCTACTAGCCATGGTGACAGTGGGGAACCTCCACTTATTTATTTAACTATTGGCTTTCAACCCTGCCCTCCCACCGAGGTGGCTCAGGGCGGCTTACAACAGTTTAAAACAACATACAATTTAAAACAGCGAATACAAGATATAAAATACAATAAATACAATAAAACTAAGTAAATATGGCGGCATCCTATGGTAAAGTGCTAGTGCGACCCAACCGGTGCAGTCAGTTCTTATTTGAACGCTTGGTGCAACAGCTCAGTTTTCACGGCTCTACAGAACTGCTGGAGGTCCCGTAGAACTCTAATCTCATTGGGGAGCTCATTCCACAGCGTTGGTGCCACCAGGGACAATCCCTGAACCAGGAGGCAACACCAGGGGAAGACCTTGGCCTGTGTGAGACAGGATGCTGGACCACGTGGCGCACTGGTCTGACCCAGCAGGGCTCATATGTTCTTAGGATTCCTCTCAAGGTCTCCAGCATTTTAGTAATAGATTAGTAACAAATTAGCAAAATTTAGCCAGCTTCAAAACTTAACTTTTCCATGGAGAAGAAGAGAAGAGATTGGATTTATACCCCGACCTTCACTACCCGAAGGAGTCTCAGAGCGGCTTACAAACTCCTTTTCCCTTCCCCTCCCCACAACAGACACCCTGTGAGGCAGGTGGGGCTGAGAGAGCTCTTGACAGAAACGGCTCTTTTTCAAGGACAGCTCTTATCAGAACTACAGCTTGTCCAAGGTCATCCAGCCAGGTGCAAGTGGAGGAGTGGGGAATCAAACCCGCTTCTCCCAGATTACAGTCCGCGCACTTAACCACGACACCAAACTGGCTCTTAGGTCATCCCCTTGTTTCCCTCCTTGTTTCCATCCCCTTGTTTCCCAAGCACTTGTCCCTGAAGCCAATGCGTGTTCTTCCCTGTTTATCCCCTCCCCTACATAATGACCAGTACTTGGACTTCTTCACTGAATTTATTTCACAAGACTAGCATTATTAGGCTGGACTTATGCCAGTGCCTATTATGAACTAGTCTCTTATGGTTCTTTGAACAATGTGTTTTGTATTAACTTTCTCTTTACTAAGAATGACTTCATGTATGATATAATATAAGCAATTTGCAGTTTTTCATTTATAATAATAAGCAACACAATTAGCTTTACAGTCTTTATTTAATTATTTTGTTAAGTTTATTGCCAGCAAGCCAGTGCATAACAGTTTTTGTTACTTGATACATTGACTGTGATTCCTCTTGTTTACTCTAATCTTAAAATGGGGCAGTGCAAGCCCCTGCGCGGCTCCAGACTGTTGCTGAGCGGGGCTTCACGTGTTAATGAGCAGCCACTCACGAGCACTGCTTAGAGTGAGCACTGTCGAGCCTCCTGTGGGCTGGGCACCACCAGTAGACCACGTGAGCAGACTCAGCATGGGTTCTGTAAGGGAAGATCTTGTCTCACTAAGCTGTTAGTGTTCTTTGAGGGGGTGAACAAACATGTGGAATGGGTTGTTTCAGGCCATAATCTTAAGGCTTTGCCTTGCTAGCCTCCTTGTGACAACTGCTGAACAGGTATGTAGATCCAAAATAGTGCTGGTATCATGTTGTACCCTTCACTTTCTGGAAAGAAGGACCAAAATACAGATGTATCCCACAAATGTGGGTGATATTATCTTGCACTGTGGGGAGAAGCCATAAGCACAGTCTTTCTCCAGGAGAGAAATCTTTCTCTTTATTGGACTCATCATCAAAGGCTCCTAAGTAAGCTCAAAAATCATGGCTAAGTAATAGAAAACAGAGAGTGCGTATAAATGGGCAATTTTCTCAGTGGAGGGTGGTAAGCAGTGGGGTACCGCAGGGATCAGTACTTGGTCCGATGCTTTTTAACTTGTTCATTAATGATTTGGAGTTGGGAGTAAGCAGTGAAGTGGCTAAATTTGCGGATGATACAAAGTTGTTCAGGGTGGTGAAAACCAGGAAGGATTGTGAGGCACTCCCAAGGAATCTGTCGAGGACGGGCGAGTGAGCGTCAACAGGGAAAATGGGGTTCAATGTGGCCAAGTGCAAGGTGATGCACATTGGAGCCAAAAATCCTAACTATAATTACATGTTGATGGGGTCTGAACTGGCAGAGACAGATCAAGAGAGAGATCTTGGAGTTGTAGTAGATAACTCACTGAAAATGTCGAGACAGTGTGTGACTGCAATAAAGAAGGCCAATGCTATGCTGGGGATTATTAGGAAGGGTATTGAAAACAGATCAGCCAATATAATAATGCCCCTATATAAATCAATGGTGAGCTCGTGGGCACTCAATGAAATGGCTGAGCGGTCAGGTTAGAACAGATGAAAGGAAGTACTTCTTCACCCAAAGAATGATTAACATATGGAATTCACTGCCACTGGAGGTGGTAGCGGCTACAAGCACGGTGTCAGCTAAGCTGCCATGAGTGTGGTGTGTGTTTCCCTTTCATGTGCATTCTTTCCCTTGCGCTTAATTGCCTCTTCGCTGCAACGCATATCTCTCAAGGCCACTGGAGGAGTTGCTGTGTTTCTGCACAGAATGAGTCGTGGGAAGCTTCTTACCTGTTTTGCTTTTGCAGCCGTTAGTTCTCAGCCTAATGCCCATGCGCAGGAACCCCTGTAATTGGGTACTACGTGGGGGTGTGTGTGTGTATACGAATGCCCTATAACCTATTATGCGCATAGATCGCCCGCCATTCCTAACAGTGTTCATGTTACTGCATCTGTGGCTTTTCAATAAAGTAAAACCTTCCTAGAAGCGTGTACACCATTGTTTTGCTGTGGGTCCTGACACATGGCTACAAGAGGGAATTAGATAAGTATATGTAGCAGAGGTCCATCGGTGGCTATTAGCCACAAGGTATAGATAGGGACTCTGGGGCAAGTGATGCTCTGTCTTCTTGGTGCTTGGGGGGGGGTCAACAGTGGGAGGGCTTCTAGTGTCCTGGCCCCATTGCTGGACCTCCTGATGGCACCTGGTATTTTTGGCCACTGTGTGACCCAGAGTGTTGGACTGGATGGGCCATTGGCCTGATCCAACACTGGCTTCTCTTATGTTCTTATGAGGAAGAACAAAGCATTCTTGGGAGGGACATATAGGGAGAGGCTGCCCTGTAGGTATGATGGTCCCAGACCATTTAGGGCAGGCATGGCCAAACTGCGGCTTGGGAACCTCATGCAGCTCTTTCACTCATATTGTGCAGTTCCCAGCGAGGTGGCTGGGGAAATGAAGGGGAGGCATGCTTCCCTGATCGGTCTTCCCTTCCCCTTGCTTGCTTTCCACCTCTCCCTCCCTCCCCCCATCTGTTTCCTTCCTTCCTTCCTAGCTTTCTTCTTCTCTTTCTCCCCTCTCCCCATCTAAAGTTAAATATAATTATCAATATCTGTTTTTACCGCTTTTGCTTTTGTCTTTGGCAGTCTCATTTAATGTTAATAAAAAGCAAATTTGCATGTTTTCCAACAGAAACGTGTGGGGTATATTTGTTCGTGTCTTGTGGCTCTGAAACACCTGACATTTATTCTATGTAGCTCTTATGTTAAGCAAGTTTGGCCACCCCTGATTTAGGGCTTTAAAGGTGAGAACCAGCACCTTGAACTTGATTCGGAAATCAGTTGGCTACCAATGCAGCTGCAGGTTGAATATGGGAAGACCATGATGGAATTGCTCAACCACCTAGCAGCTGCATTCTGTGTCACCTGGTTGGCTCTGTGGCTCCATCATGCTTGCTGTGCACTCCCTGACTGTTTGGGCCCATGCCATAAAGAAGAGAGAAGAAGCCTTTTAAAAAATGGCACCAAAAAGCAACAATGCCCGAGAGGAATAGTGGCTGCAAACAGGGGAGGGAAAAGCAGGCAGTAGGCTTGGTCCAGGCATGCTTTCTCACCCCTGGAGAGTAGCCACAGATGTGCAAAGGTGGGGGGAAAATGGCAAGGCTGTACATTACAGTGGCTTTGAATATAACGCACTAGGCAGCACCTTAGTAGAGTCTTACTTTTTCCATACATTACACAGTGTCATCTCAGACTCTCTCTTCTTTCCCTGTTTCTTGCAGGCAAATGATTCTTGCAAGTGTAATGGCTGGAAGAACCCAAATCCTCCTACGGCCCCCCGGATGGATCTGCAGCAGACAGTCACCAACCTTAGCGAGCCCTGTCGTAGCTGTGGGCACACACTCGGTGAGCTCTACGAGACATCTTCCTGCACTGCTCTCTCCCTTGGCTTGGGAAGGCCCTTGAGTGGGCTTGGCAGAAGGGAGATCTTTTCTCTAGGGCACTTAGTGGTAGAAAGGGATGTTCTGGTTTTTCACAGGCAGGGAGTACAAGTGCAGACATCTGCAAGGAGCTCAGGTAATCTTCCTGTCTGGCTGTGGTCTTTTCCGTCATTTTCCTTGCTTGTAGGTTCCTGCGTCCCGTCCCCCCGCCCGGGGTCTGTTCCTCACATGTTTTGCTCCCTTTAGTGGTCATTTGGATATTATACCAGTTTATGTCTGGCATAAAAACCTGCAGTTTAAATCTGCAGGCGTAAACTGGTGTAATATCAAATCAACCACTAGAAGGAGCAAAGCACATGCAGAATAGGAAACCACCACCACCCCCGCCCCCAAGCAACAGGAACACACAAGGGAGGAAAATGAGAATGCGGAAAAGCCCTGTGTCTCACATTCCCTTCCTACTTGTTGTGGACAGAGCTCACCAACCATGAATGGGCCATAAAAATGATGAAAGGGACTGGCTACCTGGCTGTATTTGGAGCTGCAGACATTGCTTCTCAGCTTCCATTTGGGGGTGGGTGGGTATCTTTCCTTAACTGGCCAGGCCACAGCATCTAACCCAGACTATGATGTTAGCTGACTGTATGCCTATGCTGGATGCTGCTAATGCCTGCCATCGTTATATAAACCACACTAGCACTTTTACCTCTTGTTTTAGTTGTTCTATACGTTCTATGTGAGCAGGGAGGGTGGGATATAGATTAAATAAATAAATCTGAGAGGCTTTTGTATGCGGCTCAGCAGCAGCGCATTTGCCTTGCATGCCAAAAGTCCCAGGATCAACCCCGGGCATCTCCACTTAAAAGGATTAGATGGCAGGTGATGTGAAGGACTTCTGCTTGCGACCTCAGGGCGCTGCTGCCAGTCTGAGTTGACAAGGCTAACCTTGCTAGACCGATAGACTGACTGAGTATAAGGGAGCTTCATGTGTTCATGAGCATAGGAGAGTGACTGGGGCTGAGTAGTAGATGGTCGTCCTTGCATGCAGTAGATGCACTCCAGTGCCTCTAGGTTCAAATGCTCAGATGACAGATGATGAGAGAGACCTCCTGTTTGAGACCCTGGAGAGCTGCTGCCCGTCTGAAGGAGGAGGGCCTGTGACTCAGTGGTAGAGCATCTGCTTGGCATGGATCCCAGGTTCCTGCTTGGATCCCAGGTTTATCTTATTTATTTGTTTGATTGATTTATATACCACCATTAAAACAATTTAAAACAATAAAACCCTAAAATGCCGTGCAGCAGTTAGCTCTGATGTCAGTCAGCTTATTTAAAAATTCAGCACTGCCCCAATGATGGGGACCAGGCCACTGGAGGGGAGATAGCCAGGAGGGAAGAGGGATGTCTGCTGCCTCAACCAAAGGCCCGGTGGAAGAGCTCCATCTTGTAGGCCCTGCAGAACTGCAATAGATCCTGCAGGGCCTGGGAACTCATTCCGCCAGGTAGGAGGCTAGTCGGACGTCCCTGGGGCCGTGGATTGCCAAGAGATGTTGATTTGCGGACCCCAGTGACCGATGGGGTTCATTTTTGTGGACTTCAGTGCCCTCCGGGGCTCATATGGGGAGAGGCAGTCTCTAAGGTATGTTGGCCCCTGGCTGTACAGGGCTTTAAAGGTTCAATCCCCAGTGCCTCTAGTTTCAAAGGATCAGGTAGTAGGTGAGTGATTTCTACGTGAGACCCTGTAGAGCTGCTGCCAGTCTGAGTACACAGTGCTGAACTTGATGGGCCAGTGGTCTAGTTTGGTGTGAGGCAGCTTCAGGTGTCCATGTGAGTCAGAGGATCCTGCTGAGCCCCAGGAGCTGGCTCAGCAGGAGGCCGATTCGAGTGTGTTCATGCCTTTTGAACTTGTGTACTACAGATAGCCCTGGTTCTTAATACCATAGGTGGGTGGGTGATGAACCATGACTCTGCCTGGGCATCGGTTGAGATTGGAAGGGGCCCAGTCAGCTTCAGAGCATGACCCAGCCTACCTCTCACCCGCCTCTAGCTGACCACGTGTCTCACCTGGAGAATGTCTCTGAGGAGGAGATCAACCGGCTCCTGGGGATGGTGGTGGACGTGGAGAACCTTTTCATGTCCGTGCACAAGGAAGAGGACACAGACACCAAGCAAGTTTACTTCTACCTGTTCAAGGTGAGCTCTATGGTGGGGGGAAGAGAATGTGTTGCAGGATATGCCCTCCCGTGCTGGGTAACCTGCCCTGTTGAGCATTGGCGGTGCTTGAAATAACCTTGAAATAACCTGAGCTAGCATACAGCACCAGCATTGTTGTTAATATTCCAATAGCAAGCTAGCTGGCCCTCCATTCACAGGCAATGGGGGCACCAGAAATGTGGAATTCCCCAGAGAGTTTTGTCTATCCCCCCTCTGCTAGCAGAATCCTTTTTTTCCCCCTATTAGGCAGTCCCTTATTGATCCTCTCCTTGTTTAACTGCTGTTTGTACCTATATGCATTGTTTTTAAAGTCTTTTTTATTTTATTTTCTCAAAAAAAAAGGTGGGATGCAGAAGGGAAAAAAGGGTAGGGGAGAAATATAAATTCATCAGGTTTTTCAAATATTACGACAGGTAAAATCAGATGTATTACCTATAGAAGCAATAAAACATCAATATTACAGAATTTTAGTAAAGATTCTCCCTTTAAAGAATAAACAAGGACTTTCCTAAAGTTAGCGATAATCTATGAACGATAAAAGAGATTACATCTTTAACAATTGAATGAACTTCTGTGCTAAAATTAAGTCGTCATAAAAACCTTAATATTGTCTTACTTGTTTACCTGAATCTACATTTTATTCTTACTAATTAATTACTAGTGGAATACAGAATACAGTTCTGAAACTATAATCAGTATCTTCATCACCTTTAATACAATATTCAGATAATTTCAAAACTAAAAAAAGAGTTAATTTTTATGTCTTTTTAACTGTTTCAGTAGAAAACAGGAGTCCAGGAGCACCTTAAAAACTAACAAAATATGTGGCAGGAAAAGAGCTTTCGTGAGTCACTGCTCACTTCTGCAGATACAAATTCAGATAATTCTTCAGATTATTTTGTTAGTCTTTAAGATGCTCCTGGACTCTTGCTCCTTCCTACTGCTACAGACAGACTAACACGGCCCCCCATCTGGATCTATCTTTTTAACTGTTTGCCACCTTGAAGGCCCTAATTGGGCAGACAGGCAGGATACAGATGTTTCAAATAAAGAAGTACGCTTGTGGTCACTTATCTATTCTGGAAACTCCTCAGGTACCCAAGCATATAAGGGTTTGCCAAATGATGAAAAGAGAAAACAGATTTTAAAGATAGCCTGGGCTGAGGATGTTCCTAGAGGGACAGAATGTTGAGAACAGCTAACTTGTCAAAATGATGGTGGGGATGAGGAGGAGAAATTATGTATATATTTATTTTGGAAATGTATTTCTTTAGTTCATTTAAGTCCCAAGAGGCATATTGAATCCCGGAGAAGGAGATTTGGGTGAATGGGTTTTCCAAACTGTTCCTGCAGACCTCATTTGAGATACTGTGTACAGTTCTGGTCCCCGTATCTCCAAAAGGATGATGCAGAGCTGGAAAGAGTACAGAGGTCAACCCATCTCCTATTAGCTTGTAAAATAATATTGGCACAACAATGGAATATGAAGAATATACTGACTTTGGCACAGGGGTATGATAGAATATGGGACTTGATGGTCCGGAATAAGATAGTCTCACAATTAATACAAGTTGAGAATCCTAATAGGAAAAATATGTTTATAGAGACATGGCATGCCTTTTTTGAGTATATGAATCAAACCACCCGCCAGAACTCCGCAATATCTTAGAAATACTTAGATTTTGGGGGGGGTTTAGTTATAGCTTGTTTGATCGATAAAAACGAAAACTGTCATTATTTGGGGAGGTAATCAATCCTGTATTAATGTAGCATGTGTATTGTTTTATATGTTATATATATATTTTAAAAGTACAGCGGAGGGAGACCAGGATGATTAGGGGGTTGTAGTGCTTGCCCTATGAGGAAAGGCTGAAGAGCCTGGGACTTTTCGGGTTAGAAAAGAGACAAAATGCATCAGATGCCTGGAAAAGGAAGACAGATACTGCTGGATGAGGACTTCTCAGCTAGCTCAAGATGTCCACCAACAGTGGTAGTAGTTAGCAGGTTCGCTGCAGGATCTCCAGCATAAAGGTAGAAGCTATCACCATCAGCTTGCCTCTGATCACCGCCTTTAAGGCATCCCATACCAAATGTTGTGCTACTCCACAGGAAGCATTGTGTTGAAAATAGTCTTTAATTTCGACTTCTACTGCATCTGTAACTGATTTTAATAATGAAAGTTTTGGATCTAAAAAAAAGAAAAGAAAAGAGACAACTGGAGGGGGGGGGACAGGAGAGAGGTTTATAAAATCATGCACGGGGTGGAGAGAGTTGACCAAGATAAATTTTCCTCCCTCTCCCAAAATACTAGGACTCGAGGGCATCCAATGAAGCTGATGGGCAGTAGGTTCAGGACGGACAAAAGGAAATACTACTTTACACAGAGAGTGGTTAAAATGTGGGATGTGCTGCCAGAGGATGTCGTGATGGTTACAGGAATAAACAGCTTTAAAAAGGGGATTAGGTACATTCCTAGAGGATAAGTCTATCGATGGCCACTAGCCTTGGTGACTGAGGACAAAGCCTGAGTCCGGTGGCACCTTTAAGACCAAAAAAGTGACTATCAACAAAGTGGCTACTAGCCATGGTGACCGAGGGGAACCTCCACATACAGAGGCACTAAGCCTCTGACTCCCAGAACCAGGAGGCAACAGCAGGGGAAGGCCTTGGTCTCTCTGCCCTGTTATTGGCCTGTGTGAGACAGGATGCTGGACCACGTGGAGCACTGGTCTGATCCAGCAGGGCTCTTCTTATGTTCTTGGGATTCCTCACAAGGTCTCCAGCATTTTAGTAATAAATTAGCAAAATTTAGTCAGCTTCAAAACTTACCTTTTCCATGAAGCCCTTGGGGCACCCCCTCCTTTCCCTCCTGAAACGAAGCTCAAGCACTTGTCATTGAAACGGATGCCTGCTCTTCCCTGCTTATTCCCTTCTCCTTCCCCTGCCTTTGTAGTTTAACTCCTGTCAACTCTTAGACTGTAAGCTCCATGGGGCAGGGACCCTGTCATCTTACACATCTTGGGCTGGGCCGTGGCTCAGTAGAAGGGCTTCTGCTCTGTACACAGGGAGTCCCTGGTTCAATTCCCAGCATCTCCAGTTAAAAGGACCAGACAGCAGGTGATGTGAAAGACCTCAGCCTGACACCTTGGAGTGCCGCTGAAAGTCCTGACCTTGATGGACTGATGGTCTGATTCAGTATATGGCAGCTTCGTTTGTGTTCACTCCCTCGAGCCTTGTGCACACTCCTGGCGCTGTACAAATAAATAAGAACTGTTGCAGCAGTCCTGTTCAGATATGGTTGTTTTAAAGAACATAAGAACACAAGAGAAGCCAGTGTTGGATCAGGCCAGTGGCCCATCCAGTCCAACAGTCTGTCACACAGTGGCCAAAAATACCAGGTGCCACCAGGAAGTCCAGCAGTGGGGCCAGGACACTAGAAGCCCTCCCACTGTTGCCCCCCCCCCCCCAGCACCAAGAAGACAGAGCATCCCGTGCCCCAGACCGAGAGTTCCTGTCTATACCTTGTGGCTAATAGCCGCTGATGGACCTCTGCTCCATATGTTTATCCAGTTCCCTCTTGAAGCTGTCCATGCTTTTAGCCGCCGCCACCACCTCCTGTGGCAGTGAATTCCATGTGTTAATCACTCTTTGGGTGAAGAAGTACTTCCTTTTATCCGTTCTAACCCCACTGCTCAGCAATTTCATGGAGTGCCCACGAGTTCTTGTATTGTGAGAAAGGGAGAAAAGTACTTCTTTCTCTTCCTGCTCTATCCTATGCATAATCTTATAAACCTCAATCATTTCACCCCTCAGCCGTCGTTTCTCCAAGCTAAAGAGCCCCAAGAGCTTTAACCTTTCTTCATAGGGAAAGTGTTCCAACCCTTTTATCATTCTAGTTGCCCTTTTCTGCACTTTGTCCAGTGCTATATCCTTTTTTAGGTGTGGTTACCAAAACTGTACACAGTACTCCAAGACGACCCTTTGAAATGCCACTTGGGAAGAATAATTCAGGTGGGTAGCCATGTTGGTCTGAAGACCAACAAAGACCAACAGAGTTTTATTCACGGTATAAACTTTGGTGTGCTTGCCCACGAAAGCTCATACCTTGCATAAAACTTTGTTGGTCTTAAAGGTACCACCGGACTCAAACTTTGTTCTGCTGGGAAGAATAAGTTTGTTCCATTGCAGCTTCTGTTGGTCCAGTAGAGGAGGGACTTTGCAAAGATGAATCCCTGAGCTTTATACCTGAGATAATTTGCAACAACTTTTAAAACTCCTGCTTCCCCCCTTTCCTTTTTTCCCTTACGCTTCTTCAGTCGTTTGCTTAATCCCTTTTGCTCATTGCTGTCTCTCTAGTTAGGCAGGGGCTGGCTCTGAAATACTGATAGAGGGAGTGTGTGTGCTATGCTGGGGACCATTGTTCCCTCTAAGCTGAGTTAGTGTGAGCTAGCTCACAGCTTTTTAGCTTCCCGCTCACACATTTTTGTCTTAGCTCAGGAAGGATGGCTCCAGAGCAAACAAATGCATGCAGTAGTCAAATTGTTCGCTCAAATCTTTTACACCAGTAGCTCACAGACTAGAATTTTTGCTCACAAAACTCCACAGCTTAGAGGGAACATTGCTGGGGACTGTCCACCAATGCTCCCTTCTCAGCTGTGGAGTCCTGTGAGCCAAAATTCTACTCTGTGAGCTACTGGCATTCAAGTTGGGAGTGAGTGATTTGGCTACTGCATAAATTAGTTTGCTCTGGAGCCCTCCTTCCTGAGCTAAGACAAAAAGAAGAAGAGGAGGAGGAGGAGGTCTTTATGCCCTGCCCTTCACTACCCAAAGGAGTCTCAGAGCGGCTTACAAACTCCTTTCCCTTCTCCTCCCCACAACAGACACCCTGTGAGGTGGGTGGGGCTGAGAGAGCTCTGACAGAAACTGCTCTTGAGAGAACAGCTCTGACAGAACTTTGGCTTGCCCAAGATCATCCATCCAGGTGCAAGTGGAGGAGTGGGGAATCAAACCCGGTTCTCCCAGATTAGAGTCCGCGTACTTAACCACTACACCAGACTGACAAAAATGTGTGAGCTGGAGGCTACAAAACGGTGAGCTAGCTCACACTCACTCAGCTTAGAGGGAACCCTGCTGTCCAACACCTTGTGTTGGAGATACAGTCTTCTGCATAAGGACCTTCGACCGTTCTGGTAGGGAAACACAGTGGAAGCCTCTCAGGACAGATCGTGGGCATCCCCCTGAATCCCAGTGTGTCTCAAATAGGCTCAGTTAAACAAAGGCAATGAACCAGTGTGTGATTTTAAAGTTGGATCTCTGCTTTTCCCTTCACAGCTCCTGCGGAAATGCATCCTGCAGATGAGCCGCCCAGTGGTCGAGGGCTCCCTTGGGAGCCCCCCGTTTGAAAAGCCAAACATCGAACAGGTAAGACGGCGGACCTAAAATGCTGGGATGGGCTCCATCAGTCTGGGCTTACAAAGCACATCACTTCTGGCAGACAGCGAGTGCAAACGGGCTGGTTGCAATGGAGGTCACCGAGTCATTTTTATTTTTGTTAAACTCCCCTTTTGGTACCTGCCTGTACTTTTCCCCTAGATATGCACAAGTATATAGCACTGTGTATTATAGATGTATATTTAAGGTAGATCAATTTTGTGCTTTTTCTTTTTTGTTTTTCTATACTGTTATATAAATATTTGTGTCAAATATTATCAAAAATAGGTTTCACTCAAACAATACATCAGAGTGCAGGTTTACATTCTGTTCAAACATCCAAACAGCACCTTGTCCGTTTCACAATCAGTAGTCCCGGGGGACTCTAGTAATTTACTCATTTCGAATACAGTCTTTTTCAAGGACTTTAGGTATATACAGGACACAAGGCGCAATAATTTCTCTTTGTGAGCACAAGACTCTTAAGATAGCAGCGTATTTTCTAGGGTCCCATCGGAACCCTTGCGGCAAGCTTTATAACCTATCTAGGATAGTATATCTCTCAGGTTCTATCAGGCAGCCGCAAGTTTCTGTATTTGTTTCCTAGGCAGCTTCATGCTGGTGATAGTATTTGTTACTCCTTAGCGGAGGCTGTTGGCGGAGAAATGTTTGAATTTTTCTGTGTTGTTGGAGAAGATAGTTCTTTGTTCTTTGTCGTCATGGGTCAGTGTTACCAGAGAGCATCTGCTTGCAGTTTATGAAACTGCTGGAGAAGATAGCATAAGAACATAAGAAAAGGCATGTTGGATCAGGACAGTGGCCCATCCAGTCCAACACTCTGTGTCCCACAGTGGCCAAAACCCAGGTGCCATCAGGAGGTTCACTAGTGGGGCCAGAACTCCAGAAGCCCTCCCACTGTTCCCCCCCAAGCACCAAGAATACGGAACATCACTGCTCATCCGATCTCTCGTGCCATTTGGTTGCATTGCTTTACACCATAAAATCCTCCTGGAGTCTCTGTGAGAAAGGCGGACTGTAAATACCAGATGCTTGGGCAGAGGTGGTGGCCCTGCCTGGATCTTACCATACCATCAGGTTAAGGCATGGGATTGGGACCAACAGGCATTTCTGCTGGTGAAAAAGAGAGGAGTGAGCACCAAAAATGGTATTCGGGGAAGCATTGGACCTCCATGGACACAAGTCATGTGGGATGGGGGCTGTAAAAAAGAACAGGGCAAGGTTGAGCAAAAAGTGAGCTGGATCTAGTCTGGAGAGGAGAAAGCTCTCAGTGGGATGCTTGGACTGCTGTTTCAGTTTCTCCATCCCTGGTGCACAGCCAGTGACCAGCCACCCAAGGACAGAAGCATGGAGAGACATTTGATCTGCATGCTCTCTTTTCTGTCTCAACAAGGAAGAAAGGGGGACCAGAAGCAGTGCTGCTGCTTTCTTCCGTCCTTGGAGTTGTAATCTTAAAGCTGGGAGGGAGGCTGCACAAGCCACAGCCTGCAGGCTTCAAAAGGCAGCCCTGTTTCAAGGTTGCATTCTAGAGGCAAAAATTCCGGACCAGGTCTCCACCCTTTCCCCGTCTAGAAAAAGTGTGCCAAAGAGCCTGATGCATGTCTTTGTAGCCTTAAAAGAGCTTTGGTCATTTTAAGTCAAGAAGGGAGAAGGGAGATCTCGTTCGGTCGCCTGGGGACAATTCTTACTTGCCGCAGGTGACCAAGCGAGTGGCTGCTTGCAGGCCTGTTCTCAATCTGTCCCACCACTCCCTTCCCAGGGTGTCTTAAACTTTGTGCAGTACAAGTTCAGCCACCTGCCCACCAAGGAGCGGCAGACCATGTTTGAGCTCTCCAAGATGTTCCTTCTGTGCCTGAACTACTGGAAGCTGGAGACGCCGTCCCAGTTCCGGCAGCGCTCCCAGAACGATGATGTGGCAACATACAAGGTCAACTACACCCGGTGAGCCAGGGGAAGGGGGGCAGGAGAACTCAAGCCTGGGAGGACTTCTTCACCCTCCAGCATGGCGGTACTTTCCTTTGCAACGGGTGAAGTTGCGTATGGATCTGGGGCAATGCTCCCTCTAAGCTGTGGAGTCTTGTGAGCAAAAATTCTACACTGTGAGCGACTGGCATTAAAGTTGTGAGCGAGCCATTTGGCTGCTGCATAAATTACTCTGCTCTGGAGCCATCCTTCCTGAGCGAAGACAAATACCCATGAGCCGGAGGCTAAAGAACTCTGAGATAGCTCACCATAACTCAGCTTAGAGGGAACACTGATTGGGGGCGGTGCCAAGTTCAGTTTCCTCTCTGCTGAGCAACCACTGGCTCTTCAGTGGACAGATTTATGGAACGGTGCAGTGTTCCCTCTAAGCTGAGTTAGGGTGAGCTATCTCACAGTTCTTTAGCCTCCGGCTCACGGATATTTGTCTTCGCTCAGGAAGGATGGCTCCATCCAGAGCAAAGTAATTTATGCAGCAGCCAAACCGCTCGCTCACAGCTTTAATGCCAGTAGCTCACAAAGTAGAATTTTTGCTCACGAGACTCCACACAGCTTAGAGGGAGCATGGATGACGACTTGTGACTTTCTGGGTCTCTGGTCTGCACAGCCTCTTAACGGCTTCCCCCCCCCCATTCTCGTTTCCCCCTCCAGCTGGCTGTGCTACTGCCACGTCCCCCAGAGCTGCGACAGCCTCCCTCGCTACGAAACCACCCAGGTCTTTGGGCGCAACCTCCTCAAGTCCACTTTCACTGTAACTCGCCGTCAGCTGCTGGAGAAGTTCCGGGTGGAGAAAGACAAGCTGGTCCCGGAGAAGCGCACCCTCATCCTCACCCATTTCCCCAAGTAAGCCTGGCTCCGTGAAGGGACTCCCATCGGGAAAGGGAGAGGCGTAAGGCCCGCGGTTTGCCCATCGGCCTCGCTCGGGAGTCCGAGGCTGCCATTCTAAGAACTCTTTGCCAGTGAATAACATGGGACTTACTTCCAAGTAAGCACGCCTTGGTGTGCACTCCAACAGTGCCGTCCTAAGCGGAGTTAAAAAGGTAAAGGTTTCCCTTGCTCGAAAGCCAGTCGAATCCGACTCTAGGGGGCAGTGCTCATCTCCATTTCCAAGCCGAATAGCCAGCACTGTCTGAAGACTTCTCTGTGGTCATGTGGCCAGCGTGACTAAACGCCGAGGTGCACGGAATGCTGTTACCTTCCCACCAAAGCGGTACCTATTTATCTACTTGCAATTTCTTGCTTTCGAACTGCTAGGTTGGCAGGAGCTGGGGCCAGAGACGGGAGCTCACTCCGTCAAGCGGAGTGGTTAGTAGCGGTGGACTCTAATCTAGGAGAACCGGGTTTGATTCCCCACTCCTCCACATGCAGCTGCTGGCGTGACCTTGGGTCAGTCACAAGTTCTCTCAGAGCTGTTCTCTCAAGAGCAGTCCTCAAGAGAGCTCTCTCAGCCCCACCTACCTCAGAGGGTGTCTGGTGTGGCGAGGGGGAGGAGATTGTAAGCCATTCTGAGACTCCAAGTGAAGGGCAGGGTATAAATCCAATCTCTTCTTCTTCAGTGGGAGGGAAACATTTTTTAAGATCAAAAACTGATCTACCTGACAATGGAATGACAGATATGGGAAGCCTGGCCTGTTTCCTGCGCCATGAAAGTGGTGCTACCGCTGAGTGAAAGGTAGAATTTATTTACTTAACTTTTTCCGATGGGGCACCATTGGTGCCAACGCCAAAGGTTAGGAGTTTGGGAGTTCTCCTGGATGCCTCCTTAACAATGGGGGCCCAGGTAGCAGCCACTGCCAAGGCAGCCTTTTACCATCTTCTGCTGATTAGGCAGTCGGTTCCCTTCCTTGAACGCAATGATCTGGCAACAGTGATCCACACAACGGTCACCTCGAGGCTGGACTACTGTAATGCTCTCTACATGGGGCTGCCCTTGTCGCAAATCCGGAATCTGCAGCTGGTGCAAAATGCGGCAGCCAGGCTGCTGGTGGGTCTCCTTGTGTGGGAACATATCAAGCTTGTGCTGAAGGCCTTGCACTGCCTGCCGATAGCATACCAAATTCGCTTCAAGGTGCTGGTTTTAACCTTTAAAGCCCTATATGGTCTGGGGCCTACTTACCTGAGGGACCACCTTTCCCCACATGTTCCCCAGAGAGCACTGAGGTCAGGGTCTCCAAATCGTTTGGCCCTCCCTGGACCCAAAGATGCCAGGCTGGCCTCTACCAGGGCCAGGGCCTTCTCAGTAGCGGCTCCATACTGGTGGAATGAGCTCCCAGAAATCAGAGCCCTGCTGGACCTCTTACAGTTCCGCAGGGCCTGCAGAACGGAGCTCTTCCCCCAGGCCTTTGACTAGGAGCCGCTTCCTACAACCGAACTGTGGTAAGGCCCTCTATACTATTGCCAGTAGCCTGCGACAGTTTCTGTTAATGGTCTGATAAGCCGGTTACCAACTCTGGCTATACTCTTTTGTGACTATTCCACCATGGCCTACTAGGATTACTATGCAACATCATACCACCACTAACACTTTTATCCTGTGGTGTATATGATTTTTATGATGTCTACAACTTGTGTTTTAATGTATTTTAACCTTTTAATGTAAGCCGCCCTGAGTCTGCCTGGCTGAGCAGGATATAAATTGAAATAAGTAAATAAATTTATAGTCCGCCTTTCTGTCTGAGGCTCAAGGCGGATTGTAAAATGTCGCAACACGATAGTCATGGTATTATAAGAGCATAACAGCATGAACATCATATAAGATTGAAATAGAAAGTTAGGAAACGGTGTAATAAAAGCTGCTGTCCAGATACTCTTGATGCAAGAAATGCAAAAACAAGATTAAAGGTATCTGAGTTCTAGCATCCTCTAGCAGGATTAGCGAAGGGACATAATTTCAGGGATGAGTTATGCAGGTAGGAGCGGGTTCGGCTCCATCTGGCTCCCATTGTGTTCTCGGAAAGAGTCAGTGAACTGTTGTTCAGGATGGCATTTTTAGACAAGAAATTGTTCAGGAGGATGCTTTTACAAAGGGTCGAGAACTGTCGCTTGTGGCACTTCTGTTGCATGCCTTTCTAGTTTTCAGGGCTTTGTTTCCAAGTTCTGTAATCCATTTAAGACCATTCAAATGTGTTTTATCATCTTTGTCTTGTTTTTCCGCACAACTGCTATGCAGTATTGGTCATTAACACCCCGTAATTTTTTTTAAAGATGGGTGGGAATGGAGGCCTTCTCTCTGTCCAGCCCCACTGATTCCTGTGCATCTGGATTCCTCCTTGTCCAGGTTTCTGTCGATGCTGGAGGAAGAAATCTACGGAGAGAGCTCCCCGATCTGGGAGGCCGACTTCACTATGCCTGCAGCAGAGGGAGCCCCGCTTGTTCCCCGGCCAGGTAGGCTGTTGGTTCGGCAGCTGTCCACACTGCCGGTTGGGCACATGAACAGAGGAAGGTACATTAACAGGCTGCCTGGCCAGCTAACTCGAAAAGTATGCTCAGGTGCTAAGGAAACACCAAATTCTGGGTAATTCTGGGTAAATGAGAAAGAACAGAAAATTTCACCAGGGCAAACATAGAATCATAGAATCGTAGAGCTGGAAGGGGCCCTACAGACCATCTAGTCCAACCCCTGCCCAATGCAGGACCAGCCTAAAGCACCTCTGACAAATATACATTTAAAACCTCAAGTATAACCAGACATATAAAACTTGATGTAGCATAAAGCAATTAACTCATGGGAAGTTTTCCTGACGTAGCTTTATTGCTGATTGTAAAAACATGGCCACGTTCATTGATATTTCCGAAACAGAGTCATTTAGAAGACGGTACACTTCTAAAGCATCAGGAAGGTTCGTCATGTTGGCTACGATAGGGTTTAAACATCCAGCATGTAAGGCCACGTAAAATTGACAATGCAAACAAATATGCGAAACAATTTCAGTACATCCAGAATTGCAGTGGTAAAGTCTATCCGTGTATACTATGTTATTATATGTCCCATGCAAGATTGCTGATGGTATTACATTGAATCTTGCTAGAGAAAAGGCTCTGCGCTGTTGCGGTGCTTGTATACCAGATAGGTATGGGGCCAATTCATCCAGCCTCTTCTTGAAAGCTGCCAGTGAAGGGGACCTTACCACCTCCCTGGGCAGCTGATTCCGCCAACATATTCCAGTCTTACTCCACTGAGAAGGGTCTAAAAGTTTAAGAACAATGGGTTGGATCCTGTGGAACCCATTCCTTTAGCAGTGGCACTTTTCCTTGGTGCAAGAAGGTTTCCCCGAATGTAAGAGTCTCTTGCGTCCAGGGAAGACTGCTTGCATTGGAGCAAAGTGGGATGGATCCATGAGATCCACTCTATTGGGCTTCATATATAAACAAAAGGTTGCCATGAAATGTCGCAGTTACATCAAGTTTTCTGTTGTTTCTTAACGGAACATGTTCTGCAGTCTTGGCTGTTCCAGCAACCCTGTTATAACCCCCCGCGCTCCCTTCGGTCATCATCTAGGGATCGCTTACATGTGCCTGGCCCCAGGATGGCTCACTCAGCTGTCACCAGGGGAAGGGGCTTCTCAGGTGTGGCCCCTACCCTGTGGAATGCACTCTCGGATGACACCCGGCCCCTGCCGGACTTGCTTAGTTTCCGCAGGGCATGCAAGGCTGAATTGTTTAGGTTGGCCTATGGAGGGTAACCACATTTTGGGTTTTAATAGTGGTATGGCTATAACCTCATCTCCTGCCAACCTAGCAGTTCAAAAGCAAGAAATTGCAAGTAGATAAATAGGTACCGCTTCAGTGGGAGGGTAACAGCGTTCCGTGCGCCTCGGTATCTAGTCATGCCAGCCACATGACCACGGAAATGTCTTTGGACAGCGCTAGCTCTTTGGCTTGGAAACAGAGATGAGCACCGCATCCCTAGAGTCGGATTCAACTGGCTTTTGAGCAAGGGAAACCTTTAGCTTTACCTATAGCCTCATATTTTAACATTTTAATATTTAATGTTAATATTTTATATGCTATTTGTTTTTATGTTGTTTTTTATCTTATTGGTTTTAGTGTTGTAAGTCGCCGCGAGGCCCTTTGGGTGAGTGGCTCCTGAAAAAATCAAATAACTAAATAAATACGCCTGACTTTACTAAGCCACTCCCTCACTGACAGAGATTTGGCTTGATGCTGTTTTCTCAGCAACAGAAATTGTAGCAGCTGCTCGAATGAAGAAGTTAGAGAACTTGGAGGGGGGGGGTGACCTAACAGTGGCTCTGTGACAGACACAGTCTTTTTTCTCAATGGAATTCTGCTGCCTGTTCCATATTGCTGATATTTCGCGTCCTGATGGGATTGTGTGTTTGCTCTTTTCCCTGCCCAGCAATCAGCACGGTTCCAGCAGCCAGCACACCCCTCTTCAACAAGTCTCTGAGCTGCAGCTCCTCTCTGGCGTCCATCAGCCTGGATGGCGGTTCCTTGGAGTCCGTGCCAGGTAATGTCGGCAAGGAAGGGGAAGTGTGGCTGTTAGGCAGGACCATGTGCATGATGTGAGATAGTAACCCCTGAAGGACATCATCCTATTTTTTTCTCTCTCCCTTTCAAGATTTATTTCTCTTGAGCACTCAGCCTTACAAAAATCAAAACCTTGCGTACAAAATTGGGAATGTTTTATTGGTCCTGTTACTTGTTTTACTTTTTATTCATTTAATTCATCTATCCCCCACTTTCCCCCCAGACGGTCACCTAAAGTGGTTTACACTATTCTCCTCTTCTCCATTCCATCGTCACAACAACCCTACGAGGTAGAAATGGATGAGAGCGCATGTGACTGACCTGAGGTCATCCAGCAAGGTTCTGTGGCAAAGAGAGGATTACAACCTGGGTTTTCCAGATCTTAGCCTGGAACTCTTAAGCAGTACACCAGGCTGGCTGACTTATTTGCTGAGAGCTTGTTGCATGTAGCAGTTAGAGCAGGGGTGTCAAACTTATTTAGGGCCGGATCTGACATAAATGAGACCTTGTTGGGCCGAGCCATGTGTGCTATAAAATGTAATGCCAGGTAGCAGAGGTATAAACTTTATAAAGGACACAAACCCAATTAAAGATTTTTTAAAACTTTAAATAAAACATGCTTAAAACACTAGCACTCTTGCAATATTTTGTCTGTTTAACAGTCTCTGACAGCTGACACCTCTTGCTCTGAGTTACTGCAGCCAGAGAACTGGAAAAGGAAGCAGGAAACAGCCAGGGCCTTGCGCCAGGCCGGATTGCAGCCCTCCGAGGGCCTGATCCGGCCTCTGGGCCGCATGTTTGACACCCCTGGGTTAGAGGGTCAGCGTCTGACTGGGAAGACATGAGTTCAAATCCCCACTTAGCTGTGAACCGTTTGTCAGCCTGACCTACTTCCTAGGACTGTTGTAGGAATAAAAAGGAGAGAAGGATCGTTTTGGCTGCCCTGAGCTCTTCAGAGAAAAGACAGCATAAAAGGGCTGTAGGTAGACAAATTAAAAGTATTATTTCGCAACCCTTGGAAAATAGTTCTAAGCATTAAATTAATGTATCTTTAGTTTGATCCTGAACTTTCAAAGCCAACACTGGGTATAAGCTTTTGTGTGCATCCACATGAAAGCTCATACCCAGAATTAAACTGTGTTGGTCTTCAAGGTGCCACTGGACTCCAACTTTGTTCTGTTGCTTCAGACCAACACGGCTACCCCACCTGAATCTATCTTCAAAGCCAATTGCCATGCACAAGCGATCATTTGAACAAAGTTTTGCTTCCAGTGGCACCTTTAGGACCAACAAAGTTTTATTCAAAGTCTAAGCTTTCGTGTGCAAGCACACTTCGTCAGACGCAATGGAATGAAATCTCAAGCTCCACTTAACAGGAAAAAGAGGGGGAGGGCAGCCGTTAGGGAGGGCCAGTCACAGCCAAGATACATAAGTAGGGCTGAAATTGGATCAGGTGGGTAAGATCAATGAATGGCAGCAAACTAGCACATAAATGCAAGGGTTAACAAAGAGATGCAAGAACGAAGCGCCCCCCCCCCCCCCCAAAACCCAACCCAAACCCCGGGGAGAACAGAGACTCAGCATGTGCACATTGCTTCACATACATTGGAACAGAGTCTCTCAGATATTATATGCAGTTTTGGGGGGGGAGGTTAGTTGCCAGGAAGAGTTAGTTAGAGTCAAGATGCTTAAGTAACTGAGCAGTAAACACAGCTACGATTGGAATAACACATTTGGTAGGACATGTAAAGAGCAGCAAAATGGCATACAGATAATAAAGGGGTTAACAACAGATGTGAGAACCAAGTTTGAGTCCACTGGCCTGTTTAAGTTTGATTTCTGGGTATAAGTGCCACTGGACTTTCTGCTGCTTCAGACCAATACGGCTACCCACCTGAATCTTAAGTATTTATTTGATTTTTAAAATTATATATGCTGATACAGCACACTTTCCAAATGCACATTTTGTCCAACGAAATTCCCAGAGCAGTTAAAGAGGAGTGCACGATACACAGCCTAGGAGCTGCCTGCAGAGCCAAAGTACAGAGCACTTAAACTGATTGGAGGTTGAAGGGTTAAGCCTCCTCTCCCTTCCCTGCACAGCCCTGAGGCAAACTGAGACTGCATGAACCTGGAGCTTGCAGGTTACCTCTGGAACAAGATGATGATCTTCATGTTGCTGGATCCTCAGCGTCCCAAACCCTGAAACTCCGAGGCCTGATGATGTCATGGGTCGGGGTCTAGTGATGTCATAGTTTCATTCTAGTCAAGGTTGATTCTGGCCTGTGTAATTATTTGAGTTGTGCAATAAAAACAATACAATCCTTGAAGTAGCACAAGTGGCGTGAAAAGTTGAAAGCCAGCAGCAGCAAAAGCACAAAACAGACTAAAAATGCAGTGACTAAGTAAAGCAGCAACCAAACTCAGCCAAAGCATAGGCAGGGGTTAAGTAAAGGACTTCAGAATCAATGCACATGTATCTGGAATACAAAGAGAGAAGCAGTGGTTTCTGGGAGTTGCGTCAAGCGACTGGTGTTTGCAGCCCATTCTTACGAACTCATACCTACAGGACAACCTCTCCCATTACAACCCCCTGCGCTCCCTTCGGTCATAGCCTAGGGCCCTCTTGCAGGTGCCTGGCCCCAGGATGACTCGCTTAGCCATCACCAGGGGAAGGGCCTCCTCAGTTGTGGCCCCTGCCCTGTGGAATGCACTCTCGGATGACACCCGTGCCCTACCGGATTTGTTCAGTTTCCGCAGGGCATGCAAAGCTGAATTGTTTAGGTTATCCTTTGGAGGGTAAGCACGTGTTTGGGCTGTTTTAATAGTGGTATGGCAACAGCCACGCGTTTTAATATTTTAATGTTTTAACATTTAAATGTTAATATTTTATATTATTTGATTTTATGTTATTTTTACCTTATTGGTTTTAGTGTTGTGAGTCGCCACAAGACCCTTCACTTGTGGGGAGGGTGGAATATAAATCCAAATATGAATAATAAAATAAAATCAATAAATAATAAGTAAGAACATAAGAGAAGCCAATGTTGGATGAGGCCAATGGCCCATCCAGTCCAACACTCTGTCACACAGTGGCCAAAAACACCAGGTGCCCTCAGGAGGTCCAGCAGTGGGGCCAGGACACTAGAAGCCCTCCCACTGTTGCCTCCTCCCCCAAGCACCAAGAATACAGAGCATCCCGTGCCCCAGCCCGAGAGTTCCTATCTATCCCTTGTGGCTAATAGCCATGGATGGACCTCTGCTCCAGATGTTTATCCAATTCCCTCTTGAAGCCGTCCATGCTTGTAGCCGCCACCACCTCCTGTGGCAGTGAATTCCATGTGTTAATCACTCTTTGGGTGAAGAAGTACTTCCTTTTATCTGTTCTAACCCGACTGCTCAGCAATTTCATGGAGTGCCCAGGAGTTCTTGTATTGTGAGAAAGGGAGAAAAGTTCTTCTTTCTCAACCTGGTCTATCCCATGCGTTCTCTTATAAAGCTCGATCATGTCACCCCTCAGCCGTCGTTTCTCCAAGCTAAAGAGCCCCAAGTGCTTTAACCTTTCTTCAACAGTCTCCGATGTCTTCCCTGTTTCCTGCCCAGGTGAGAAGCGGAAGCTCCCTGAGAGCTTGACTATCGAGGATGCCAAGCGGATCCGGGTGCTGGGCGACATCCCGATGGAGCTGGTCAACGAAGTGATGCTGACGATCACGGATCCGGCGGCCATGCTTGGGCCAGAGGTACGCCAAGAGGCAGAGGGAGAAACGAACAGGGCTTTGCCAACTTCAGAGAAGGCCTGACACCCCCTCCTTCCCCCGGGACGCCAAATTGGTTTCGTCCTGGAGAATTTTGTCAGTTCTCTCAGTGGAAATTACCACTGGATCCAAGGCTAAGTCTGTGATCCTACAAAAGCCCAGACCATTTTTATTAGGCTCTGGAAAGCCAACAGTGAAAGGGCAACTTCCTGGGGCTGGGTGTTCCAGGGGTGGAGGGCAGCTGCAGGAAAAGCAGTGACTTTTTTTTTAAGCTCACGTGACCACAAAATATCAACACATTTTCCCCCAAATTGGCTCAGGTTGCTTGGCTAGCTAACACATGGGCTTGATAGTGAATATAAGATTGAAAAATCCTTGGGTGTTTTTTTTTTTTTAAAAAAGGAAGGAAGTTATGTGTTGAGGGAAATTAGAAGCAAAGGGTTCTGGGAGTTACGTCAAGTTTCTTATCTGCATGTAGGAAAGGAAGCCAAACAAGGACCATTTCCGCAGTAGTGAAATTGCCCACATTGATGTTTTTAAAACTGCGTTATGTGACATTTTCTGCAGTAGATTTTTCCGCACTAGGCGCAAACCCGAATATTTCTCTTTTCTATCCCGTGTTTTTGGAACCTCCAGTTTTAGCGAGTTCTGAAAACGTGGTAAGAAGGTGAAAACTTCAGGTTTGTGCCTGGTGAGGAAAAATCTACTGTGGAAAATTCCACATAACACGCAGTTTTAAAAACGTCAATGCGGGGAATTTCACTGCTGTGGAAATGATCGTGCTCTGGCTCCATCCCGCCTCCAAACCTGGCATGCTCTCCAGTACTGAATTCTGTCCGTGTTTTCCCTTCACCCGCAGACCAGCCTGCTCTCTGCAAACGCAGCCCGGGATGAGACAGCCCGCCTGGAGGAGCGGCGTGGCATCATCGAATTCCACGTCATTGGCAACTCCCTCTCTCAGAAGTCCAACAAGAAGATCCTCATGTGGCTGGTCGGCTTGCAGAACGTTTTTTCGCACCAGCTGCCGCGGATGCCCAAGGAGTACATCACCCGCTTGGTCTTTGACCCGTAAGTTGGGAGTGGGACCTTCTGGACCGTAATGGATTGGTATGGTGGAGGCATTCGGTGACCTGTGTGGTGGGGCCTCAGTGGGATAATGTACCCACATTGAGCATTGCAGTCTTGGAAAGGGGCAAGTAGAAGATGAAGAAGAGATTGGATTTATACCCGGCCCTTCATTCGAAGTCTCAGAGCTGCTTACAAACTCCTTTCCCTTCCCCTCCCCACAACAGACACCCTGTGAGGTAGGTGGGGCTGAGAGAGCTCTTTCAAGGACTACTCTTGAGAGAACAGCTCTCATAGAACTATGGCTTGCCCAAGGTAATCCAGCAGCTGCAGGTGGAGGAGTGGGGAATCAAACCTGGTTCTCCCAGATTAGAGTCCGCACACTTAACCACTACACCAGTAGCACCTTAAAGACTAACAGCATTTGTGGCAGGGGAGGAGCTTCCAGGAGTCACCACTCCCTTCAGACACCTTACTGCGTGGGGCAATGACGGGCGCTGTCTGAGGCTGAGTCCCCTACCTGCCCCGCTTGCTACCACCATAGGGGAGACAGAGCATCTAATGTTCCTTCCCTTCTCACTCCCCAAGGACCTTTCAGCATAGTAGGATATGCTGCACACGGCCACTAGGCCTTCTTGAATTCTCATGAGGGGTTGGGAATGAGATGGGCCACGCGCAGGTTGCTGCCACACTGTTTAAAGACCCCTTGGGCGCAAGGAAAGGAAGGAGCGTCAGGTGCTCCGGCCAATGTGGCGCGCTGGTTAGAGTGTCGAACTGGGATCTGGGGACCTGGGAATCGAACCTCCCCTCTGCTTATGGAACCTGGGGCCAGTCGCACCCCCTCAGCCTCACCTGCCTCACCTCCACACACATCGAGACGGGGAGCCGTGTGAGTCTGTCTGTAGCAGTAAAAAAGAGCCAAAATGTGAAACCAAAGCCCTGTTCATCTTCTGCAGAATTGAATCCTGGTCCATCACATAGCTTCTCTTTTCTCAGCATGTCACAGTACTACACTACAATACGCAGGATTCTTTGCTGGAAACCACAGCATTATTGCTGTAAAACTGATGCGTGGCCAGTGCAGAGATAGGCAGGGTCAGATACTGGCTTCGTTAAGACATCAGGCAAAACCATGGTTTAATAAAACTAACTATATTTAGTGTGAGTGCAGTGGCACTTTTAAGACGAACAAAGTTGAATTCTGGGTATAAGCTTTCATGTGCATGCACACTTCTTAATCAGTGTGCATGCGCATGAAAGCTTATACCCAGAATTCAACTTCGCTGGTCTTAAAGGTGCCACTGGACTCACACTTTGTTCTGTTGCTACAGACCAACATGGCTACTCCACTGACAATGGTTAGTTGGAGGCCATCATACCAGGATCTGGTTTAAGAGACACACTGAAGTCTTAACTATGGGGTCATCTGAGTGAGAAATGCAAAAAGCCTGGTTTTATTCTAGCCTGTTCCCCAGCCCTGCCCACCCAGGCTACAGAGAGAAGGCAAAGAAATCAACCTTTCTCAAGGCAAAGCAGGATGTGAGTGGTTGTCTGCGTGCTGAATCCTGGTTTTGCAAACGAGCCATCCTTAGAAATGAAGCATGGCTTTTGCGTGATGTCTGAAATGAGCCACTGTTAGCTGCCTGCATTTCATTCCATGTTAGGGAAGAGGGGAGGGATTGGCCGTCGTTCTGTGTTCCATTTCCCTTTCCTGACTCCCAATCCATATATTTCCTTCTTTTTTCCTTTGGGGCAGCAAGCACAAAACTTTGGCCCTGATCAAGGATGGCCGGGTGATCGGGGGCATCTGCTTCCGGATGTTCCCGACTCAGGGGTTCACAGAGATCGTCTTTTGTGCTGTGACGTCCAACGAGCAAGTCAAGGTAGAGTCTTGCTTGAGACACACTGTGGAACGGGGACTGCGTGTTAGGACTGGGGGATATGTTGGGAATGCTTAGTTTGGAGGAGATTGAGGGGGGGCATGATTGCTCTCTTTAAATATCTGAAAGGCTGTCATTTGGAGGAGGGCAAGGAGCTGTTCCAGTTGGAAGCAGAGGACATTTGTATAATGCTTTCACAGACCCTCGTTTGTGATCCCAGTTTGGCTGGTGGGATGAGGCTGACGAAGAGTGCCTAGGCTTAGGATCCCTAGGGAGTTGGTGGCAGAGGCGGGATTAGAATCGGGTGCCTGCCAGATCACACTTCATCCGGCATGTGTAGAATAGCCAGGAGATCCTAAGATTGTCTGGCAGACGTTGTAGCTCTTTTCAGCACTGTGCACCACTAGGTGGCGAGGCAGGCTTGTTTTTAAGGCAAGAGAGGCTTCAGAGGTGGCTTGCCATTGCCTGCCTTTGCGTCATGACCCTGGTACTCCTTGGTGGTCTCCCATCCGAGTTCTAACCAGGGCCGACCCTGCTTAGCTTCCGAGATCTGACAAGATCGGGCTTGCCTGGGCTGCCCAGGTCAGGGCTCCTTTTAAGTCACTCTATGGCACCGGTTCTCTGAAAAAGTATAGGCAAATGCTTGAATTCTGCATCATTCATCTTCTCTCAGTCTGCATGAATCAGGAGGCTTCCTTTTAGTAAAGGAGGTGGCCTGTGAGGCTGCACTGACCCGGCGGAGAACAAAGCAAAGGACTGACCAAAAGCAGGTTTCTGCATACCCGTGTGGATCCCTGCAGTTTGCAGGGAGCTAGAGAGCTCCGTAGGGGGCCACGGTGGCTTAGTGGTTAAGACGCTGAACTGCAGACTGGAAGGTCGGTAGTTTGGCAGTTCGAGAACCGAATGCCGCATGACGGAGCGAGCGCCCGTCTCTGGTCCCAGCTCCTGCCAGCCTAGCAGTTTGAAAGCAAGAAACTGCAAGTAGATAAATAGGTACCGCTTCGGTGGGAAGGTAACAACGTTCCGTGCGTCTCGGATGTCTTTGGACAGCGCTGGCTCTTCAGCTTGGAAACAGAGATGAGCACCACCCCCTAGAGTCGGATTCGACTGGCTTTTGAGCAAGGGAAACCTTTACCTTTTTAGAGAGCTCAGTAAAACAGAAGGAAGCTTCTTACAGAGGGCCTAAAAATGGGGGGTGGTTGTTTTCAAAGACTTTGGCACATTCTTGCTGCAGCCAGTAAACGCTGGTAATTATCCTTTGTTGCTGTGTCCTTTAACTGTCCCCCCAAAATAAGATTTTGAGGCCCCAACAAGTTGGGCATTCAGGAACTTCCTTTCTTGCATCTGAAATCTACACACACACACACACACACACACACCATGAACTTTTCAAGCAAGTGCAGGAGATGACCGTAGATATGCATGCCACGTACATCAATAACAGCTTTCTGAGATACACAGGTCTGCATACTCATTTCAGCCATAGTGGTGCCCTGACCAGAATGGCTGGATAAGATTCGGATTGTGCCTCACGCTTCCCTCCTCTCCGTCCAGGGCTACGGGACCCACCTGATGAATCACCTGAAAGAGTACCACATCAAACACAGCATCCTGTACTTCCTCACCTATGCTGACGAATATGCCATTGGCTACTTCAAGAAGCAGGTACCTCCCAGATCCACAGCGCTCAGTGTCAGAAATGTCTCAGGTCTGTGCATACACAGGAGAGTTTCTCAGTAATGAAGAGCACACTGGGGGTGCTGAGTCATAAGAAAACATAACATAACAGAAGCCATGTTGGATCAGGCCAGTGGCCTCTCCAGTCCAACACTCTGTATCACACAAAGGCCAAAACCCAGATGCAGTCAGGAGGTCCACCAGCGGGACCAGAACTCCAGAAGCCCTCCCAGTGTTGCCCCCCAAGCACCAAGAATACAGAATATCACTGCCCCAGACATAAGAACATAAGAGAAACCATGTTGGATTAGGCCAATGGCCCATTCAGTCCAACTCTCTGTAGGACACAGTGGCCAAACCCAGGTGCCATCAGGAGGTCCACCAGCAGGGCCAGAACGCCAGAAGCCTCCCACTGTTGCCCCCCCCCAAGGACCAAGAATACAGAACATCACTGCCCCAGAAATAAGAACATAACAGAAGCCATGTTGGATTAGGCCAGTGGCCCATCCAGCCTAACACTCTGTAGGACATAGTGGCCAAAACCCAGACACCATCAGGAGGTCCACCAGCAGGGCCAGAACTCCAGAAGCTCTCCCACTGTTGCCTCCCAAATACCTAGAATACAGAGCATCACTGCCCCAAACATAGCGTTCCAGCCGTACCTTGTGGCTAATAGCCACTGATGGACCTCTGCTCCAAATGTTTATCCAACCCCCTCTTGAAACTATGCTTGTAGCCGCCACCACTTCCTGTGGCAGTGAATTCCACATCTGAAATTCCACGTTATGGAATTCATCACTCTTTGGGTGTCCTGCTTTGACTTGGGTGCTTATTTTTCTTCTATAAGGACTAGTTGGTTTAGGCTAGTTGGTCCAAAGCCAGTGAATAAACATTTTGCTATGTTTGATCCCCATTCTGCACACAGGTACTTAAGGCCGGGATGTGCCCAGAGGCATGAGCTAAAGGGCAAGAGCCCGAGGGCTGCTGTCCCTTTGACGCCCAGCCTGAGTGTCACAGCCTTAAATTAGGTGGCAAAGAAGGAGGATCTGGTTGACTCTCTGAAGCCTCCCCCCCTTTCCTGTTCATTTTGTTAGCTCTTTTGGGACCCCTTTGGGGAGAAATGCGAGATATAAACAAATTAAATAATTACCCTAAATAAAAATAATGCCTTAAGGAGAGGCAACACTGGAAAAAGTGCAGAATAGGGCAACTAGAATGATAAAAGGGTTGCAACACTTTCCCTATGAAGAAAGGTTCAAGTGCTTGGGTCTCTTTAGCTTAGAGAAACGATGGCTGAGGGGCGACATGATCGAGGTTTACAAGATTATGCATGGGATAGAGCAGGTAGAGAAAGAAGTACTTTTCTCCCTTTCTCACAATACAAGAACTCGTGGGCACTCAATGAAATTGCTGAGCAGTCAGGTTAGAACAGATAAAAGGAAGTACTTCTTCACCCAAAGAGTGATTAACACATGGAATTCACTGCCACAGGAGGTGGTGGCGGCTACAAGCATGGGACGGCTTCAAGAGGGAATTGGATAAACATGGAGCAGAGGTCCATCAGTGGCCATTAGCCACAAGGTATAGATAGAAACTCTCAGGCTGGGGCAAGTGATGCTCTGTATTCTTGGTGCTTGGGGAGTAGACCTCCTGGTAGCACCTCCTGGTGGCACCTGGTATTTTTGGCCACTGTGTGACAGCGTGTTGGACTGGATGGGCCATTGGCCTGATCCAACATTGGCTTCTCTTATGCTGTTATGACAGGAGGACCCTAAGACCATAAGGGAAGCCATGTTGGATCAGGCCAATGGCCCATCCAGTCCAACACTCTGCTCTCAACATAATCCGTGCCCTTCCTGGCTTATTAAAGCACAATGCACTTTGGAACTGGATTTTAGTGTGTGAAATGGCAAAATCTACTTTACAAACAAGTGGATTGAAATTACGTTATTTAGCGCATGTAAAAGCCCCCTCTTTGTCACACAGTGACCAAAACCCAGGGCCCTGTTTCTTCTTATTATGTGTGACTTATGTAAACTATTACTGGACAAGCCTTTTCTCCCCTCCTCTGGCTGCAGGGCTTCTCCAAAGACATTAAAGTCCCCAAGAGCCGGTACCTGGGCTACATCAAGGACTACGAGGGAGCCACCTTGATGGAATGCGAGCTGAACCCTCGGATCCCCTACACGGAGCTCTCCCATATCATTAAGAAGCAGAAAGAGGTGAGGAGGGAGGGAGGAGTTGCAGGACTGTACTCAATTTATCCCTACTATATAGAGAGAAGGTCCCACAGGAAAACAGAAATAGAATAAGGAAAGGGGGAAAACGTCCGTGGGACGACCCAATTATGTATGAGAGCAAAGCTCTACAATCTAAATACATAAACAATAAACAGCTCAAACAGTATAGAGTCCACACAGTATAAGTCCATATAAAAGGTCCAAAACAATCCACAAAAGGAAGACTGGACTCAATGGAAAAAATGAAGAGTAGAGGTTGTGGATTTATTCAAGTAAAGCCACATTGATAAAGAGGTTTCTGGATTTCTTCTTCTCCTCTTTTCTAAATATTCTTCTTCTTTTTTCTTTTTTTTTCAAATAACTTTTATTAAATTACTCTTACAACAAAATATCTCACAATTAACACACAGCAAAATAACATCCCAAAGTAGATTCAAACACATACTGCATGTCATAAATCTATAACCAAAATCAACTTTGTTACAAAACCTACTTATTACAAAAGAAATCCCTCATTACAAGTCAACCTCTTTTATAGCATTATAACAGCACAGAGCATTTGGCTTATCACATTAATTACTTCACAGGCAGGTGAGGTAATTGGCATGCAGATTAGCTATTTAAGCTATTAGAAAGTCCTTGTGGCCATCTCCTGACCAGAGATTGACATACAGTGAGGTCGTTAATGTGGCACGTCTCTACTCTTCATTGTCTCCATTTTGTGAGTCACTGCTCACTCCTTCTGAAGAGTTGTGTTAGTTTTTAAGGTGCTGTGGGACTCTGTAGTCTTTGTAAGTCTTTAAGGTGCCAACAAAAAGGAAGGGAAGGGGGGGGAGAAAACTCAACCCAAAAAGTTGCTATGGATCCACAAGGGTTAAGCTGACACAAAACATTATGAAAATACAAAAGTTATTCAGGTGTACACATTTTAAAACTTAGATTCATTAAAAATATACCATTCAGACATAAAAAACGTTTCAACATTCATACATAGATGGGTTAGTGCTGTGCAACTGAACCAAACGCGTTTCGGCCCCTCAAAGGGCCTTCCTCAGTGGTCACAATTCCAATTACAAATTTGACATACATTCAAAAAATTTTTTTACATAAGATGTTAAATACATATACAGTGTAAGGCCAGATGTTGTTTCCTAAATATGTATTTGTTTATTATTATTCTATAAGATGGGCCTCCAATTAAAGTTCACCAATAATTCTGGTAGCACAAACATGTGTGAGTTGAATGTATGTCACTCCATCCAGTACAAATTCTGGTATATTTGTACAGGATGGAGTGACATACATTCAACTCACACAAGTTGAGGGGCCTTTGAGGGGCCGAAACGCATTTGGTTCAGTTGCACAGCACTAACCCATCTATGTATGAATGTTGAAAAGTTTTTTATGTCTGAATGGTATATTTTTAATGAATCTAAGTTTTAAAATATGTACACCTGAATAAATTTTGTATTTTCATAATATTTAGTGTCAGCTTAACCCTTGTGGATCCATAGTCTTTAAGGTGCTACATTCTAGCTGTATCTGAAGAAGTGAGCAGTGACTCATGAGCAGGCTTCCCAAGTACTTACCGTGATTTGGCAGGGGACACAAACGTCCTTGCGGGATTATTCCTGCGGGGACAACAGATGCGCCGCACCATGCCGTCACCAGGAAGTGATGCTGGGCGACGCTCTGGCAATGGGGCTGGAAAGCGTCACCCAGCATCACTTCCTGGCGATGGCATGGTGTGTTACAGGGAGGAATGGTCCGGCCGGGGAGCATGTTTCCCCCGCCGGATCACAGTAAGTACTTGGGAACCCTACTCATGAGAGCTCATCCCCTGCCAAAAATGTTGTTAGTCTTTAAGGTGCTCCTGGACCCTTGCTCTTTTCTCTGAAAGGAGGGATTCAGCTGTTAGAACCCTCAGCGGTGTGTGGGTCTTGAGCTGGGAATTCCCGCTAGCCGAACTGAATCTGTAGCTTCTCCTTTAAAATTAGAATTCTCCAGTACCGCCCCCACACCCCCAAAAGCATCAACAACCTTCTACTTTGCTCCACTCCCTTCCCTATTCGATTGGTCACATCCCTTCTATGCCTGTATAACTTCCTTTTCCTGCTGGCAGATTTTGGCCAGGCTTCCACTGAGGTGCTCATCTAGTTTCTGTACCCCTGCAGACCAGGGACTCACGTGACTGAATGTCGTTCCATCCCAGGAAGGTTCCTTGCATGTAGAAAACTAGTCTCTCAGGGATATGGTTAGGCTAGAACCCTTCTCCTTGGCCTACGGGCTTTCTGTATGGAGGCAACTCTGTCTGAATAGAGGAGCACTCTTATCAGATGAGCTTCCTGGTACAGTGTGGAATGCTCCTATCCAGTGCTCCCTCTAAGCTGTGGAGTCTTGTGAGCAGAAATTCTACTTTGAGAGCTACTGACATTAAAATTCCGAGTGAGCAATTTGGCTGCTGCATAAATTAGTTTGCTCTGGAGCCCTCCTTCCTGAGCGAAGACAAAGATCTGTGAGCCAGAGGCTGAAAAACTGTGAGCTAGCTCACACTAACTCCGCTTAGTGGGAACACTGGTCCTATTCCATCCCCCCAGGCTTGTCGTCTCAGGAAGAGCGAGGCTCTTATCTGGGCAGTGAAGTGGCTCGGGTTCCAGCAGCTTGCCTGGTTCCTCCGGCCTCACTCCCCGTTCTTCTCTGCCTTCGCCTACTGTGCCTTGGAACTTTTCTAACTGCGTGAGAGGCTCTCTCTCATTTATTCACTTCATCTATACCCCGCCTTTGTCTGCAACAGGGACCCAACGTGTGTCCTACATCATTCTGCTCTCCTCTGTTTTACCCTCAGAACAACCCTGTGAGGTAGGTTAGGCGGGAGAGTATATAGGACTGGCCCAAAGTCAACCAGCAAGGTTCCATGGCAGAGTGGGGATTCGAACCCAGGTCCCTGAGATTCTAAAAAGGTCCACTAAGATGAAGAAGAAGAGATTGGATTTATACCCCGCCCTTCACTCAGAGTCTCAGAGTGGTTTACAATCTCCCTTCCCCTCCACACAACAGACCCCCTGTGAAGCAAGTGCGGCTGAGAGAGCTCTTTTGAGGACTGCTCCCGAGAGAACAGCTCTGAAAAAACGTGTGACTGACCCGAGGTCACACCAGCAGCTGCATGTGGAGGAGTGGGGAATCAAACCCGGTTCTCCCAGATTAGAGTCCGTACTCCTAAAGCCACTACACCAAACTAAGGCAGTAACGTCTGTCCTGCCACTTGACCCTCTTCCTACCTACCTGGTCTCAATCCTGCAGGGACACGCTGTACAGAGGCAGTCCAAGGCATGTCCCTCACTCTTCTTTTTAAAATTATCATAGATTATCAAGAAGTTGATAGAGCGGAAGCAGGCCCAGATCCGCAAGGTCTACCCGGGCCTCACGTGCTTCAAGGAGGGCGTCCGGCACATCCCCATCGAAAGCATTCCAGGCATCCGTGAGTCCGGAAGGGAGGGGGCCAGGCCATCTTTTGTGGGTGTCCCGTATTCAGAAATGTTTGGGGAGGGGGGGGAGGGACAGAACAAAAAGCAGGGCAAGTGTGTGGTTTGTGGTGATGGATCAAGTAAACTCTAGTGGTGCATTTAAACAGTAGAATAACATTCTTGCCTGTCTGGGGGTTATGTCTCCATTCATCCCTAGAGTATCATAGAATCATAGAGTTGGAAGGGGCCATAGAGGCCATCTAGTCCAACCCCCTGCTCAGTGCCGGATCAGCCTAAAATATCCCTGACAAGTGTTCGTGCTTCCACTGCTTGAAGTCTGTCAGTGAGGGAGAGCTCACCATCTCCCTTGGCAGCTGATTCCATTGTTGAACTGCTCTTACTGTAAAAAAAATAATGTACTCCTAATATCATTCCACCTGTAATTTAAGCCCATTACTGCAAGTCCTGTCCACTGTGGCCAACGAGAACAGCTCCCTGCCCTCCTCTAAGTGACGACAGTCTGGAGGAATCACCGTCAACAAAATCACAGAGAGTTGAGAACCAAAAACTGTGATGCAAAGCAGAAAGGAATCGTCCCCCTGTGCTTTTAATGATTTTGAGAATATTTGAATAAGATAATAGATGATAAAAACAAGAACACAAATTTAGCTCTTTATCTTCTTTATTCTGTACTTTTGTTTGCGCTTGACATCACAGTTTTTGGTTCTCAACTCTCCTCTAAGTGACGGCCCTTCAAGTACTTAAAGAGAGCAATCGTGTCCTCCCTTAGCCTTCTCTTCTCCAGACTGAACGTTCCGAGGTCCCTCAGCCTTTCTTCTCCGGGCTTGGTCTCCAGGCCCCTGATCATCATCGTCGCTTTCCTCTGCACCCGCTCCATTCTGTCCACATCTTTTTTGAAGTGAGGTCTCCATACGTATCTGTTGTCTATGTACCTACTGCATTTTCCCCTTATCTTCCTCCAAGGAGTTTTGGACGATAGATTAGATTAGATTAGTGTCTTCACTCTTTTGTTCACCACAACAACCCTGTGAGGTAGGTTATGGTGAGAAAAAGCATAGCCCAAGTGTCACCCACTGAGTTCAATGCCTCCAGTTGGAGATCTGAACTCAGGTCTCCCCGGTCCTAGTCTGACACTCCAACCACTGCTTCCCCCTGGCTTCTCAGTTCTCTGGAGCATCAGGGCTAGAGATTGGTTACTGAAGGGTTATGAGCCTGGACGGTCCTAGCTGGCAGTTCTGGCTTAGCCGCTGGCACTTTGCTTCTCATGGCACTGGGTTCTTTTGGACTAATGTGATGCTTCCTGTCTTCCAGGGGAGACGGGATGGAAGCCCATGGGAAAGGAGAAAGGGTAAGCCATTGGTCCGCTTCTCAGTTTCTGGCCAATTTCAGTATGCTCCCTACCACTGCTCCAAGTTCCTCGAAACATACATATGCAACAGATATAGGGGGTGAAAACCATGCAGCTACGTAAGAACGTCAGTAGGGCCCTGCTGGATCAGACCAGTGGTCCATCCATTCAGAGGGAGGTAATCTATCGTATTTTAGTCCCACCCTCCCTCCAAGGTGCTCTGGGCATCGTTTCGGCCTCCTTTCCACGTTTTATCCTCACTTATAGCCCTGTGAGGTGGGTTAGGCTGACTGGTCCAAAAGATTACCCAGGGAAGTTCATGGCTAAGTGGGGTCTGGAAGCCGGCTCACCCCAGTCAGAGTCCAGCCCTCTTTGTCACTACGCCACCCTGGCTTCAGTAGGTCCCGGAAGAAGAAGAAGGCCCCTGTTGATGAGACCAAGCCCATTCCAGCTTCTGCTTCAGATGCCCAGGTGTTTATTACATGACTGTATACTTACCTGTCCTGGTGCCCTGTGGGAGCCGTAGCACATCTTTCCCCTTGGCTAACATCGTTTCCCGTCTTACATCCTGGCTGCCTGATGATCCGCCGTTGCTGTCTGTCTCGCAATAAGCTCCGCTGTAGGTTTTTAAAAGGGTCTTTTCTAGTTATGCAAAATAAGAAGGGGGAGGGATTGGTTCCTGAGGTTTTAAGCAGGCATGTGGGGCAGTGTATCCAAGTAGCGTTACCATTTGTAGAGATGAGGGGCGTAAGAAGACTGGCCTTTCGTGGTGGCTGACTTGGATTCTCTGTCCTTCAGGAAGGAGCTCAAAGACCCGGACCAGTTGTACACCACTTTGAAAAATCTCCTTGCACAAATCAAGGTGACTTGACTCTGTGGCTGGTGGGGAGGCTGTCGAGAGAATTTTCTCTAGTGCGGAGATTCCCCAGTGTGGCGCCTGCTGCTATGTTTGCTCATGCCCACTTCCTTCTTCCCCATAGGTTCCCCAAAGCATAGCTTCCCCTGGTCTGTCCAAAAAGCCTGTCCTGGTCTTCCTCCCCCTTGCTGAGGAAGGAGGAAGCAATACTAATGATAAACAGAAGAAACACATAGCACAATTTAAAACCAACCATATAAATCTCCCATTGAACGTAGCTGCATTCAACAACCCGACAGTAAAGTGGGTTCCCAGTGGGAACAATACAGGAATCGCAAGGCATACACGATGACTGATTCAAAGCCTGATGGAAGAGCTCTGTCTTTGCAAGCCTTGCGGAAGCTAACAAGCTCCGGCAAGGCATGTGTGTCCTGGGATAGAGCCTTCCACCGGGACGGGGCCACCACAGAGAAGGCTCTCGTCCTGGTAGAGGAGAGGTAAGCCACTCAAGGGCCGGGCACCACCAAACAATTGTGTGATGAAGAGCGCAGCCAAGGCGGGATTGTAGCGGGAGAGACGCATCAGATAAAGGTTCAGACCAGCACCTTGCATTTGATCTGGAAACCAGCTGGCATTTACTCTGGTTGTCTGTTCCCCCCATCTCTGGCAGCCATTGTTATGGGGGTCCCACTGCCTCTTCTTAAAATCCAGTATCCACAGGCTTAACAAGGCCCTAGTCTGGCCTGTCATACTAGAGTTCTGGTCGCTGTATCAGGGAAAGGAAGCCTTGCCCTCTCCAACTTCGGAATAAACTTTGATCTTTCCCCCCCCCATATCTGACCTGATTTGTGAATGCAGGCAGATGTTGTTTTGTTTTTTAATAGAGGCATTTTGGAGCCCCGACACGGCACTGAGCCAGAACTCTGTCGTAAGCATAAGCCGTATAAACAGAAAAAGAGGCTTCCCAGTAGTAACATAAACAAGAACAAAAAAGTTGTGGAATGAGACGCTAAACCAATATTGTAATCAACTATACTAAGAAAGTGCATACCCGGGATCTTCGTTATTGTATCATTCTTACCAGATTACACATTGTATACTCCTTGTCAGAGACTGTATATCACCTTGTTTGCATTGTACTGCCGTACTTTTTGGATTTTGCTTTACAATATATATTTGAACTTTCGTAGTATAATTGATTGCAATATTGGTTTAGCGTCTCATTCCACAGTTTTATTCTTGTTTATGGAAGCCTAAACTGGACACATTTTACTGGTTGTTCCCCACTAGATTCTAGTTTTCCCATTTGCTCTGAAGATATCTACCTCTATGTTTATTGGTAAAATCCCCCAAACTGTCAGACTGGAAGAATTTTCCAAGGTAAATACAAAGCTAATAGCCTTTGGGAGTTGGGGGGGCAAATCATATCAGTTCACCAAATTTTATAATGTAAGCATGCAGGCTTTTCGATTACACGGAATTCTTCCTTGGGCTGGCTGTTTTTTAAAGAAGTTTTTAAAAGGCAAGCTCTCTGCCAGAAGCATCCTTTAAATCCAACCAGAGGAAGAGTGCTGTGCACCTCAAAAACCTGCATAACCTCATTGTGAACCTCGCTCCAAGTGCAAGTGTTGTTCCCCTCTGGAGGATGGTGGTGACTTCACTAGGTGGTAACGTTGCCTTTCTCTCCCCTGCCAGACCCACCCCAGTGCCTGGCCGTTCATGGAACCAGTAAAGAAGTCTGAGGCTCCCGATTACTATGAGATCATCCGTTTCCCTATTGGTAAGAGGCTGGATTTCACCATTGATATCACATAAGAAGAGCCCTGCTGGATCAGACCCAGAGGTCCATCTAGTCCAGCATCCTGTCTCACACAGGGGCCAACCAGTTCCTCTGGAGGACCAACAACAGGGCATAGAAGCTGAGGCCTTCCCCTGATAAGAACATCAGAAGAGCCCTACAGAATCAGACCCAGAGGTCCATCTAGTCCAGCCTCCTGTCTCACACAATGACCAACCAGTTCCTCTGGAGGGCCAACAACAGGGCATAGAGACTGAGGCCTTCCCGATGTTCCCTCCTGGCTCTGGGATTCAGAGGCTTAGTGCCTCTGAATGTGGAGGTTCCCCTCAGTCACCAGGGCTAGTAGCCATTGATAGACTTATCCTCCATGAATCTATCTAATTCCCTTTTAGAGCTGTTTATTCCTGTGGCCATCACAACTTCTTCTGGCAGCAGCAAATTCAACAGTTTAATCACTCTCTGTGTGAAGAAGCGTTTCCTTTTGTCTGTCCTGAATCTACTGCCCTACGGGATTGATTGGATGTCCTCGAGTTCTAGTGTTTGGGGAGTGGGAGAAAAAGTTCCCTTTGTCACCTCTCTTCACCCCGTGCATAATTTTATAAACCTCTGTCATGTCCGCCCCCCCCCCCAGTCGTCTCTTTTCTAAACTGACAAGTCCCCACACTCTTCAGCCTTTCCTCATAGGGAAGATGCTCCAAGCCCCTAATCACCTCACTTGCCTTCCTATGTACTTTTTCCAGCTCTCTAATCTGGGAGAACCGGGATTGATTCCCCACTCCTCCACTTGCACCTGGCTGGATGACCTTGGGCAAGCCGTAGTTCTGATAAGAGCTGTTCTTGAAAAAAGAGCAGTTTCTGTCAAGCCCCACCTCCCTCACAGGGTGTGTGTTGTGGGGAGGGGAAGGGAAAGGAGTTTGTAAGCCGCTCTGAGACACCTTTGGGTAGTGAAGGGCGGGGTATAAATCCAATCTCTCCTCTCTCTCCTTTTTGAGATACGGTGGCCAGAACTCTACACAGTATTCCAAATGAGGCCGCATCATAGATCTACACCAGGGCATTACAGTATTGGCCATTTTATTCTCAACCCCTTTCCTAATAATCAAAACAGAGAGTTTGCCTTTTTTACCACTACAGTTTTATTTTAGACTAACTGGGTTGGAAGGTGGAATTGATGCAGTGGATATGAAAATAGTTATGGATGCTAGTTGAGTCTATGTTTGCATTCATACTACGGAACTGGGGAATCTGGATTTCAGGATACAAACCAAAGTGTCCATCAGGTTCCTCCCAAGAAAGTTGCTTTGCATTCCAAAGCACAGAGGACATTTTCAGCTCTCCCGGGCACAAAACTGAGCTTAAAAAGACGGTGGAATTCCCTGCCGCAGGAAGTGGTGGTGGCTACCAGCATCGACAGCTTCAAGAGAGGACTGGATAAACATATGGAGTGGAGGTCCATCAGTGGCTATTAGGACCACAAAAAGGTATAGATTGAACACTCTGTCTGGGGCAGTGATACTGTGCATTCCTGGTGCTTGGGGGGGGGGGGGCAACAGAGGGCTTCTAGAGTTTTCACCCCACTGGTGGACCTCCTCACGACACCTGGCTTTTGGCCACTGTGTGACACAGAGTGTTGGCCTGGATGGGCCACGGGCCTGATCCAAAATGGCTTCTCTTATGTTCTTAAAGTGTGCTATGGACCCCTTTTATACCAGATCAAATCAGGAGTCCGTCTAGCTCAGTACTGTCTGCTCCAACTGGCAGTAACTGTCCAGGACGTCTTTCTCAGCTACCACTGCTTAAATTCCTTTGAGCGAAGATGCCTGAGATTGAGCTTTTAGCGCACACAACAAGGTTTCTGATAAAAAGGCTGCCTTATGCTGTCATAGCATTGGTGCCTGTAGCCCATGTCTGTGTCAGGCTGGCTGTCCAAGGTGGGTCCTTTCGCAGCTTTGCCACTGGAGATTCTTTAATTGGAGGTGATGGGGCTTGAACCTGGGGCTTTCTTCAGACAAAGCTTGTGCTGTATCGTTGAGCTACAACCCTTCCTGTCACCTGCGGGGCTGTGACTCAGTGGTAGAGTTCCCTTCCACAGGACAAGAAAGCCTAGAGTGGCAGTTAAGAGTGGCACCTTCAGTACATCTCCAACAATCACCCTTTCTGCTAGCCCAGTCCTGCTGTAGACCACCGAGGTCATGGTGAGTCTTTCAAAAGCATTCCCATGAGCCTTTGGGAAACACGCCATACTGAAGACCTGTTGCTCCTGCAGCTGCCAGTACAGTGCAGAGGCAACGAGGAAACCACATGTGCCAGTTGCTGTGTGGAAATCACTCAGACGAGAAAACCAGTGAGGTGCATGTTCCGCAATTCTGCAGTTCCCCGCATAAATGCCATTCTCCCTCCCTCCCCTTCTGAAATGTTGAGCTCAATCTTCATCCCACAGATCTCAAGACGATGACGGAGCGCCTGAAGAACCGCTATTACGTCACAAAGAAGCTCTTCATTGCCGACTTGCAACGCATCATCACCAATTGCCGCGAGTACAACCCGCCCGAGAGCGACTACTGTAAATGTGCCAACACCCTGGAGAAGTTCTTCTACTTCAAGCTCAAAGAAGGGGGGCTCATCGACAAGTAGGGGGCGCCAAACCACACCTCACACTCACACACACACACCCTTCCTGCCTGTGTGGGATTTCCACCTCCGTCCTTCCATCCTGTCGAAAACTCTTCTGGCTCGTGAACAGCCGGACCTTTTCCTCGCTGCCTTCCACCGCGTCTCACGCACAAATCCAGATATGAGTGGCTGGATGTGAGGGAGTTTCTCCTAATATGATTGGAGAGAGGGCTGGGGACACGGACTTTCGTCTCATCCTTCACCCTCCCAACAGACTGGGATGCGCGACTTCCTCTGTGTTGATTTTCTGAGCCTTATCACTCCGTCCATCGGGTCTTCCTTTCCAGAAGAGCGTTCACAGGGAGTACTTTGGGAGATTTGGAATCCTTGTGTTGGTATTTGGGATCGAATGAAGGTCCTGCCACGGTCCTCGTCCTCCCTTTGTTTTCCCACTCGTGACTTTTTCCCCCCTCGTTCCCTCCTCCCCAACTTGGGGGGAACTTTGTGGGCCTACACTCCGTCCTTCCTTTCCCCAGTTTTAGCCGTTTCCTCTTGACGTGTGAATGTAGACATGAAGAGTTTAAAATGGGGGCCAAGGCAGGGGGGCTTGCCACAGGTTCAAGCAGTAGGGAGTTTCTCCTCAGTTGGGCACAACTCGATAGAAATTATCTGGCCCCATTCCCTTCCTCTTGGCCATTTTGCAGTGTCCCACAGGCTTGCCTCCTCAGTACTGCTCAGCCTGCAAACCTTTGAGGCTCAGGGTCAATTGGATCTGGCTTCAAGAGGCAGGTGAGTGAGCAGAGGAGGAAGGTAAGATCCCTGAGGCTTCCGTCCTTCACCTCAAACCTCAAGCCTATCCAGTTGCCAGCCAATGATCTTCAATAAACGTGGGGGGGGGGGGGCGCTTCCTTGGCAGTGGAAGGTTGAAGGCCTCCCTCACTTCCCCCTCACTTCCCCCATACCTCCCATAACTGAAGGAACATGTCCTAGGGAGGGTTACCTCAGCCACTCCAGAGTTGTGTTTTTCTGAGTTTGCCCCCACTCTTGGCTGACATGGAGATAACCCCCATCCTAGACCTGCCTGATGCTCTCCTTATTCCCTCCCCCCCCAACTTCTGAGTCATTCCTGATCATTTCCCTTTGTCACCGAGCACTTATCGAACTTCCCACCCCTTCTGTATAACGTAATCAAACTTGACGGTTGTCTCTGCACTTTGGGACTCTTCTCATCATGTGTCAAAACGAGTCAGGCCTCCTCTAGGGCCGGGCCCCCCTCAGAGTGCATCAGCAGCAGTATTTCTCACGTACAAACACACACGAGTGTCTCCGTCGCAGGCCATGTGGTTTGGTTTCATAGAGGGGCACCCAGTTCTGGCTCTCTTGCCAGAAATCAGTGTGGTGAATTAGCAAGCGCGCCTCTCTCTCGTGTAATTTTGGGGGCAGTTAATATCTGTGCCACCTTGTGGAAAAACTGAAATACAACTTTTTTGTGTGTGCCGAAGAACCAGTTTCCTTATCTGTGGCAGCTGTGCTTAATATTAACCCCATGAGAATGATAAAAGTGTAAGGATATACAATAGCGTTATGGGAGAGTAAATTATGAAAACTGCTGGATGGTAATGCCTCTTGGTGGCAGTCTGGTCTGAGGCGGTGTTTTAACTGCTCTCTGCGTTTCAGTTTTTCTGCCCTGCTAGAAACCAGAGAGGAAGCGGAGAGCTTATCTTCCTCCTTCGATTCGCTTCTCTGTCCCTTCTTGCCAGTTGATTCAACTGAGACATTTCAGGAAGTGGGGGATGGAGAGAGAGAACCGACGGGGAGCTTGGAGGCCAAGTGCCGCTGATCCGGTTGCCAATCATTGATATAAATTTTCCTTTGCTTCCTAACTGTTGGTGACTTGTCAGGCGGGAACCCATAACTGTGGCTGGAGTACCTGTCTCTTTTTGCCCTGGGTACAAGTGTCCAGTGACCTGGTCTAGGTGTGGTGCAGAACGTAACCTCCGGCTGCAATCCAGGCATCTGTCAGTACACATCAAAGCCAAATCCTTCGGCCACCGTCCTGGGGGGAAGAGGTTAAGCCCTTCCCGTTCCCCTTTGGCCCAGCCCTTCAACTTTGTTCAAGCCCCGTTCTCTCATCCCCCTTTCCTTCAATTACAAGAGAGAGATTTCCTCCATGTGCCTCCAAGGAACTTTGTAATTGGGAAACAGCGAGGAGGGAAGCATTTCAGTGACGTTCCAGCTGCCTTCTCTTAAGTGACTGTTGCCTTACTATTGCCACCACATTTTGTGTGCTTAATCTATACAATTGCAGAGCTTCACTCTGCCATTTTGGGCCTTTCAGTAATGTTGCCATTCCATTTTTTTTTTACATTTAAAAGGGAAAGAAAATAAAGAACATATCCGTAATTAAAAAAACAGAGTGCTGCTTTTTCTCTCTTTTGTATTATGTGCAATAATCAGTGTGCTGTTGCTTAGCAATTATTTTGTTTTAGCAGCTTTGGTAAAAGTACATTAAATATTCATGTTATTTAGTACGCTTACTTGCCATTCATTGCAAGGCTGAAATACATAAAAGGCACATATCAGTGCCCAAAAGAACTGTTTTCTGACTGGTGCAACTCATTTAATTGTGCTTTTCAAGGAAGCGAATCCCTCAGCTACTGAAAATGATTTATGAACAGCTGAAGCGGCCCTTTACCAAGTCCGAAGGTTCAAATAGGTATTTTAAAAGGCCTGCATGGTTAATGAACAAAGTAATAGAAGTAGTAAAAGGTAAGGATTCCTTTAAGCAGTGGAAAGCGTGAGGTAAATAAAAGGGAGCACAGGCTTTGGCAAGTAAAATGCAAGCTGGTGATCAGACAGACAGAAAGGGACTATGAGGAACATATTGCAAAAAACAAAGACCAACAAAAAAAAATTATTTGAATACATTAGAAGCAGAGAACCAGCCAGAGAGGCAGTGGGGCCCTTGGATGACCAAGGGTAAAAGGATTACTAACAGGATGATAGGGAAATGGCAGAGAAACTGAATGTGTTTTTTGCTTGCCCACTCCAGAACTGCCAATTTCAGGAGAGGGTGTTGAACAGATTTGGATTGAGGTGACCAGAGAGGGGGTCCTACGACTGATGGACAAATTAAAAACTGACAAATCCCCAGGCCCGGCTGGCATACATCCAAGAATTCTGCAAGAACTCAGATGTAAACGTCCCAGGCCTGGGGGAGCAGGAACAACCCCTCGCACCTGTCCCCAGGCGCAAGGGGCACCGTTGGGCATTAGGTCCGTCCAGCCCGAAAGGTTCCCCAGCCTCCTCCAGCCCCGGGGCGGCACCCTTTAACTCCTACTGCCCAACGGTGCCAGGGGTTCCCCCCCCCCTCCCGCTTGCTGGGGCCGATGTGAAGGAAGCCATCCAGGGCCGGGGGAGACACCACCTCTCCGGACTGATTTCCAAACTTTGCCGCTGGGCGATCTGCACAAGGGTTCCCTCCCCCCTCCCCCAGTCCTTGGAAGTCTGCCTTTGAAGCAGGGTTGTCCAGCAATGCCATTCTCGCCTGATCTCCGAGCGGCTTTTCTCCCCAGTGAGCAGAGGCACTGGAAGGGTCCCTTTAAGAGTTCTTTAGTGGGGGAAATCTAAAACCCTTACAGGAAATAACAGAAGAGATAGGCAAACAATATTGGTTAAAAATATCAGGGCTATATAAGACAGTTAAAAGGATCAGCAAAAAGGAAGACCTCTGGACAGACGCACCAATGGAAGTAATATACAAAGAAATGGCCAAGCAGAAAAAGGGACTGGTAGGAAAAATATATTTTTTGTTGTTCAGTCGCACAGTCGAGTCCGACTCTTCACAACCCCATGGACCAGATCACGCCAGGCCTTCCGGTCTTCCGCCGTCCTCTGAAGTTTGCTCAATTTCATCTTCGTTGCATCGATGACACTGTCTAACCATCTCATCCTTTGTCGTCCCCATCTTCTTTGACCTTCAATCTTTCCCAGCATCAGGGTCTTCTCCAGTGAGTGCTCCCTTCTCATTTGGTGGCCAAAGTATTTGAGCTTCAGTTTCATTATCTGGCCTTCCAGGGAACAGTCAGGGTTGATTTCTTTTAGGATTGACTGATTTGATCTTCTTGCAGTCCAAGGGACTCTCAAGAGTCTCCTCCAGCACCATAGTTCAAAAGAATCTATTCTTCGGCACTCGGCCTTCCTTATAGTCCAACTCTCACAGCCATACATGACTACTGGGAATACCATTGCTTGGACCATGCGTATTTTTGTTGGCAGGGTGATGTCTCTACTTTTTATCATGCTGTTTAGGTTCGCCATCACTTTCCTCCCAAGGAGCAGGCGTCTTTTAATTTCATGGCTGCAGTCACAGTCTGCGGTGATCTGGGATCCCAGGAACGTGAAGTCTGTCACTACTTCCACGACTTCCCCTTCTATTTGCCAAGGAGTGATGGGGCCGGATGCCATGATCTTAGTTTTTTTGATGTTGAGCTTCAAGCCCACTTTTGCGCTCTCCTCTTTTACCCTGAGCAAGAGGCTCTTTAGGTCCTCTTCACTTTCTGCCATTAGAGTGGTATCGTCTGCATATCTGAGGTTGTTGATCTTTTCCCCAGCAATCTTAATTCCCGCTTGTGATTCATCCAGGCCAGCATTTCGCGAAGACCTACCTAGATTGGATACTGAAAGAAAGAAGAAAAGACATTCAGTGGAAGATTGTGCCCATGGCTGGGGTGAAAAAACTAAGATTAAGAGGGAGGGAGGAAAGGGGTGAAACTGTATATAGCTACAAATATTCGATGTAACAGACTAAACAAACAATTAAAATATATATATTAAAAAAAAGAGTTCGTCCCCTGAGGCGGGAGGGGTTTTCCCCCACTCAGCACAGACAGGGGATCTCCAAGCGGCCCCTGGAAGGAGTTCAGGCGCCCCAGTCCCTCCTTCCTCTTGTAGATTCCAAGGGCCCTCCGTGGATTCAGTGGGCCAGGGATCAGCTGGAGGGCCCTTTAAATGTCTAAGGAGAGAAGCGAGTGTGTTGTACACATCGTTTATGAAACCCTTTGCACTCTGCCACTGACTAAGTCAGTTTAACTTAGCAGGTACACTTAACACTTACATGGTGCATATGTTAAGTGCCTTTGATGATTCTAATCACAGTAACTGAAATCAATTATGAACATATATTCAAATATTCACTTTGGTTCATTGCTTAAAAGCATTGTGGGTAAAATACTAAATGCTGACAGGCAATCATACTGCAGTGACTTTGCTTGTCTTGCCAGTTGTAATCGCGCATGCCCCTGATGTCAGTTTGCTTGTGTTAGATTAAGAACACTGCATGATGTACTAATATTTGTTACAATGAGATACTTTTTAGAATTTCACAGCCTAGGAAGAAGAAAGCCTATTGTTCAACTGAAGAAGGTATATTTTTGCCTGGGAAAATCCAACCCCCAGGTTGGATTCCCAATCAGAATGGTGTGACGGATATGTGACAAACTTTGATGGAACCAATAATTGTGATTTATTTCTAACTGTCATAGGGAGTATAAAATCCTATGTCTCCCATTGTAACCTTAGGGAGAGCTGTGGGTATTCAAGGATTTAAAACCTTGTTGTATCCATACTTCCCCCCTTTATTAATAAAGCTTTAAAGTTTGGATTCTCCTCTACAAGACTGCCGTGTGCTTTCTCAAATTGGGCTGGGGGAGCGCAACCTTTGACGGAGTTTCTGTCCTACAAGAGGGTGGGGCGGGGCTTTAGGCGCTCCAAATTAGCTTGCTTCTCTCCTGGGGGTTGTGTTTTTAAACTGCAGTTCTGCCTGA